TACATATATGTATACGCTTGTATATACATTATATACATATCTTTATCACATATATTATCATCACATATATGTACATAGGTAACGATATATATATATATATATATATATATCTATGTTTATATATATATGTATGTATATAAATAAATATACATATATACGTATGCACATATATAAGATGATAATATATGTAATATACAATATAAATACATATATAATGTACATATAAGAAGCACTTCTCTTCGGCGAGAAGTGCGAGAGCGAGTGAATTGTCTGTCTGGCGGCTGTGGGCTAACGGTGTCAATCAAGTGTCACATTAATATGTATCCTCACAAGTAAGTGAGAGCACACGAGTCAAGAGGAATTCACCTCGCTCCTCATACATGTATACACACATATGTATATATTATTTGCATATTGCTGGCAAATATACAAACCAAAGATACAGCGATGGCGCCTATTTCTCGTCTCCTTCCTCTTTTAATTGTTTTCGCACTCACGATAGTGGACTCTCATCTACACAACACAAATACGATCACGCGTCGTAGAAACATATTTATACAATACAATTTACATAGATAATATACAGTGGTCAAAGATTAGTGACGACGAAGAGGCGATCCGCCGCGGGATCCTCGCTAAAATACGCCGCGGAGTTAAACATCGTCGCCGCCGTAGAATCTACGCTCATCGTCTGCAAACAAAACACATTTACGGTTACGTCTCACCACAGAGATAATCGCCCAACAACGGGCTTCTTTTCATCACCAGCATTGAGCTGCCTTAGGCAAGTTTCCTTCTAACGAGCTACGATCACATTGCGGACGGCAATTAAAATACAAAGTGCTCGCGTAAAGACGATATCAGAGAGATCATCTTTACGCTCGGCCAACGTGTTTGTTCATTATCGCGTCCCGTGATCCCAGCGTGGTCGCGAAGGTATCATTTTTTGTTATTTCATTGGCACGAAGCGAACGCATTTATCAAGAGTCAATCGCAACGGGGTGATTGACTTCTTAACCCTTAGACTGCGGGCCGCTTGGAAGCAAGACGATGCGCTTTGATGCGGAATCATCACGTCAGCCTCGCTTTAGCGCGTTCTGATGTTAACAGCGAGGAAAAGGGAACGGTTTCTCTATCGTCTAAAGGCACTGTTCACGCAAGGTGAAGGTTTTCTCCTCGTCAGGCTCTAATGGGCGCTGATTGCACTCTAAGGGTTAAGATCCTGTTAAGAAGCAAGACATTGATTCACCTCAGATGGATCCGTGCGGTAAGAGGAATTTTCCGTCGTCAGATGCTGATACTGAGATGCCTGTCCATATGAAACGTGCTGCGTGCACTGCTGCTGCTGCTGCTGTTGCTGCTGCTGTTGCTGTTGCTGTTGCTGCTGTTGCTGCTGCTGCTGCTGCTGTTGCTGCTGTTGCTGCTGTTTCCACTCCTCGTATCGTCTGATCGCGCTCTCATCTTGTGCGCTGTGATCTTCGTCGCTCGTTTGCTTCGTCGTTTTCTTCGCCACTGTGTCGTGCTCCTCTTCGGCCGGCGGTGACGATGAAAGCTGCAGCTGCGTTGGCTGCTCGCTCGTTTTGTCTGCCAGAGAATTCAACGAATGGCAAACATCGAAGATACTCTGAGCTGCGGGTTGCACCGCTACCGGACTCGTCACGCTCGGCGCTGGTTGACTGACCAGAGTGATCACCTGCTGCGGCTCCTTACCCTCGGTGTTGAACATCAACGTCGGCAGGGGGGGAATCGGGACCGCGACCGCGCTGGGCTGCGCGGGGTGTAGGATGTCGACGGGCGCCGTTGTCCTTGCATTCGCGTTATCCTGAACGTTTGCGCGCTCGACGTCGGCCGACGACGAGGTCGATGGGCTGTCCGGTTGCGGTGCTATAGACCCTGGGAAAGAAGGTGGCTGCTGTTGACCGACCAAACTTATCACTTGCGGTGTCTGCGGTGGCGACTGCGGTTGCTGCTGCGCCGGCTGTGGCACAACCGCCGGCGCCGGCGGTTCCGGGAAGAGTTCTGTCCTCAGGTTGGGCAAGAACGCGTCGATCGCCCGCCACGTCGGGGCCCAGAGATTAGAAGTCGCCGCTAATACGTTGGCGGACGACATCACCAGCAACATGTTCTTCAGGGACTCGGGGATGGCCTCGAACAGCAGCTCGCTGTTGTCGGCGTGCATGTACGCGCGCAGCAGATCGAGCACAGTTAGCCACAGCGGCAAGAAACCGGGCAGCGTCAGCAGAGGTGTCAGATGGTGAAGGAACACCTTGGAGAGCAACATCGCGGCCCGAACTCGCGTCTCCTCGACGCCGACAGGATCGTTCGACGCGATGGGGTCCAACAGTTGCGCCAATAACGGGAACAGCACCTCCTCGAGACACTGCGACCACTCGATCGCGGACAGCTGCGCCAAGTCGTGCGCCAACAGCGTGCTCTGCAGACACGTGATCGCAGCTGTGCGTACAGGCCGACGCGCGTCGCAGCAGAGCCGCGCGATGCCCTGCAGCAATGGTCGCCAAGCCTGCGGCCACAGGGATATACCGTCGTCGATGCTGCCCTCCTCCGCCCACCAACGGAATACCTGAGCGATCCTCGTATGAAGTGTGTGCATCAGATCCAGCAGCTGTTCAGGACTGTGTTGGTAGCCGGGTGCCTCCTCCGCCGAGTTGCACACTCGGTTTCGCTTGCCTGCGCACTGCAACACCGCCTCGGCGAAGGTTCTCACGCAGTTGACGCACAGGTCGAAGTTGAAGGGTGTGACGTGCGCCATGTCGCGCACCAGAAAGTTGAGACTCTCGCAGCACTTGACGAACGCCGCTGAGTCGTGCGACTGTAGGTCACGCGCCAGCACTATCCTCTCCGCGGCTACCGGCAGAGGAGCCTCGGTGCCTGTCGGCGACACCAGCACCCACTCCGGCACGGGACTGATCGGTCTCGGGTCTAAAACCGACGCTCTGGTATTCGCAGTCTCGTCCAAGACCGTGTTGGAGCGTTTAGGCGCTAGCGCACCGGCACCCGCGCACTCCAACAGGCTGAACACCACCTTCCAGTCCTCGGCGCTGTGAATATTCGCGGCACCGGTCTTCAGGAGCTCGAACAGACCGTAGGCGATTTGCCGAGCTAACGGTGCGGTCGTCGCGGATGGCAGGTGAGTGAGAGGTAGCAGAGGAGACAGACACGCGAACTCTTCACCGCGTAACAGCCTGATGGCCAACCTCAGCATGCCCACGGCTACCCTCTCGAGTAAATAGGGATGATTTTCTCGCGCTGCCACCGTTAACAACCGGTCCAAGTAGCTCTGCACCACCGGCCAGATACACGTCACCCTGTCGCGATTCTGTATGGTTACTTCCAGCAACAGCTCCAGCAGGAATATCGACACGTCTTCGTCGCTGGGATTCACCGACACCAGAGCACCGACGAGGGAATTGAGCGACTCACTCTGCGGTGGAGTGGTGAGTGAGTTAGAATGTCTCGTAGCAGTTACCAATTTTGTACTTGTGCTCACTTGTGCATCTACGTGCTATGGAAAGTGGACTCACCTGAAAGAACTTGCTCTCCTCGATGATGGACTTGAGGTAACAGTTGCTGATGAACTCGGTGGCCTTTTTCCGCGAAGTTGCCTCGGCAGGATGCGACTGCCGCGACGTGTCCATCGCGATGTACGAGTAAAAGGTGGAGAATATGCCTTGATCGCCCGGCGAGACTTTCGGCGTGGTCGGCTCCCGAAGCAGAGATATCTTGCCCGACGGATCGATGAAGTCCTCCGCCTCGGTGAGGTTTTTCGGCAACAGTCTCGCTTCGTAGAGCGATTGCAGACAATCGATGATGTTTTTCCAGGACGCTCGCAAAGCGTCCCCATGTAAACGTGTGATCTTGAAGAGAGTGAGAGCGGCCAGTTGGCACTTGCCGCTTCCACCGAGGTGCTGCACCACTTGCTCGGGCTTCCCGCCGGTTATCAAGCCGGTGAACTTGCAGAGGCTCACCACGAGAGTGTCAAGATCGCCGCACATGCTGTAGTGGGCGCTTATCGCCGCGCAACTAAAATAAAAAGAGGACATCGAGGAGGATACATACAGGATTTAATTAAAAGAGAGTAAATTTGTGTTCGATGAACATCTTGCAAGAGCGAATCTATAAAAGTTAACGAAGGCGTATGCCAAACGAACCTTAGAAACGTTTGAGACACTTTGCATTTCAGCGTTCTGTCTGGAGCTTTGTCGTAGGCACGGCAAAGAGCGCTCACGATGGGTCCCCACGCGTGCTCGGCCAGATCTCGGTCGACGAATTCGCCGGAATTGCCTACTTTTAGGTACGTGCTTTCACGCCCGGAACCTCTTCTCAGCAGAACCTTCCACAGATAATTGTCCTTCACCAGTCCAGTTTGCTCGGCTGGCATTACAATTTCTTCTCCCCTAAACAAGCAACGCACCGCGGATGAGTAAGTAACGAAGGTACTTGTTACTAAAAATACTAGACGTGAATCATAGCGTTGTAAGAGAGAAAATATTGCAACACAGCAACGCTTACTTAATCGACGTGTATATTTCATCGAGCATATCTTGATCGAAATCGGCATCGCCGTTCACTTTCTTCAAGTTTCTCTTGAACTCGTCGGCGGTCATAGGATTATTTTGCCTCTTGACGTTATAATTGTGTTGATCGACGTTCAACATAATTACCGCGTAAGCCAATGTAAAGGCAGCATCGGCCGAGGCGAACGGTCTACCGTTGCTGTCCTGGAAACAATAACAATTTTTTCTTTATCATTCTAATATTCCGAAGGTCATTCTACAATACGTGTCGTAAGTTGTAAGCCGTAAGAATTGGCGAATCACAGTCGATAATTACAAAAATAATCGGCTATAATTGGTCAGTTCTTACGGCTTACAACTTACCGACACGTATTGTAGAATGACCTTGATATCATCTTCACGTCGTCCTTTTAGGTCGTAATCACTACAACAGAATACGCGCACTCACGTGCCAATGTTCGGCGAATTTCTCAAGCAGAAGAGCTATGAGAGGCGCTTCACCGGGCAACCTGAACGACTCCAGATACAGCCGTAAAGCCTGGTCGATCCGGGTGTTCCTCAGGTCGAAGTTGTGTACAAAGTAATTGAGTATATTCTTGTTTTCCTTCTTGCTGATATACTCGCCGATCGCTTTCTTGTCCAGACCAGGATTCTCTCGCAGCAATTTCGCTACTTTCTCCGGATCCGAATGACCGGGAGTACCGCCCAGAAGTCCGTGTTCCGTGAGCTTTGCGATACCTTCGCGCGGGTTTTCGTTGAACTTCTCCGTGCCGAGGGCCAGCCACTGCGAAACGGAAACGAAAGATCCTGCTTATCCTGCGCGGAGATACGACGTGAATCAGAAGAAAACGAGCACCTACGCGTTTGTTCGCCTTCGTGGCGAGCAAGTCTTCGCGCGTAGGAAGATTTAGCGATACTTCGTGACGCGACGGCTTACACGGTTTGCCCTTGCAGCGGATCTCCATACCGGCAACCAGCATTAATATGGCATCCAAGGAGATCAACTGCATACTGTACATGCCAGCCGTAGGCATGGAGACGTTCTGAAAGAAAATGTTTGTGATCTCTTCATATTACGAATACAATGAGAATGTTCACGTGTTACACGTGCGAGAGACGACGTGTACCTTGGAGAACATCTTCATAAGTTCTTCGTACATGTTCGTAGAATAAAGTCCGCAGTCGTAATTCAAATATAACTCAGCGGGCAAGCCGGGTATTCTCCACAATCTTACTATGGCCTCTACGAATTACGGGAGTAAAATTTGTTCATATTGTTCATATTGTTCACGCTGCGTATTGTCGCAAAATTAAAAAAGTCTCACCAAGCGCTAATTCCCGTTGCTCATAGGATATCTTATTGGATTCTGAATTCACGATTTCCATTAATTTGGTTAAGTAATGCTCCAATTGGAATTTCAGATGCTCTCTCTGCGACTCGAACAGCAGGAATGACACTTGAAGATCTACGGCGAGAATCGACAGCCTGTCTGTTCCAAGCAGCTGAAACATAAAATTACGAAATCTTTATTAAGAACACAAATAAACAACAAATGAAGATAACACGCGACCTCCTTCCTGTATTTGCAAACCAAGTCAAATACATAAAACCATGTAATTTGTAATTACTATTGTTATTGTATTAGCAATTTGGTTTTCCCTCTTACCAAAATAAGATTTCTGCACAAGTCGTCCTTCACAAGCGCGAGTAACGACGAGAAATTGGAAAGAGCGTCGGCGGCGATTTCCAACGCCACTTGCAGCAAACTCAGACCCAAGTGGGTCATGATCTCGTTGTTCTGTTTGTCGAGGGGGCTGCACAAGGAGACGAGAAACCTGAATAGCTCGCGCACGCACAGCGCACCGTACGGCGTGCGCTGTTGCAGCGGCATGAAACGAACGCCCTGGGTGTTCACGTATTCTTCCATTTGTTCGGGTTCCTTCGCTTTGCAGCTCTTGGACACGCTCTCGTCTATCGACAGGTCTTCCACGCTGCCAACCGGAGACTGCGTCAATTCGATACTCTTGGTCTCGTCCCCTGCACGAGAAATCGATGACGGGAGACGAAGAGATGCGGCAAAGAAACAATTAAAATTTAATCTTTAATCTGTTAATTATCTGAGAAATTATCTTCTCATTATTATTGTTCATGGGGTATTTATATTAATATATTTTATTTTTATCTATTCTCGATCGAATTTACTTCACAAAACGGTAAGAACGACGGATATTACCTGGACTTTCTGGCAAAGATTGTTTGCTGGAGGATTCAGACACATCGTTTGCCGTGTTTCTCTGCTCACACGTGTCCTCCCTCTCTGTGTTTGGTTTGGTTTCTTCGTGAGGCACGGTTTTATTATTCTCCGCGTCAACGTTCTCGGAAGTGCTATTAGCCTCGGCTGTCTCTACTTCACCGCTGACTTCTCTGTTGTTCGTGTACTTATCGTCTTCCTGCTTCTTACTCGTTTCTTGATTATCCACCGTCTTATTGCACTCGTTTTTATCATTGATGTCTTTGCTACCGTTGACTTTTCCGTCGCTCTTCTCGTCCTCGTTTTTATCGACACTTCCGTGATCCAAGGATCCCTGCATATCAACGATATTCCCAATCGGCGAGACGGGATTGCTGGCCAGATGACTGCTTGTTCGTATTCCGTCAACCGAGCTAAGGATGTGTGACTCTTTATCGTCGACATCATCCGTGGGGGACTTGGACTTTTGCTTCATGTAGCTTTTGTGTTTCCTGTTTTTGCTACGGGTACTTTCCATACTATTTGTTCTCATTTTCTGCGGAACATCGAAATGTAAATGTGACTTTTTTCTACCGTACTAAATAATATGTCGACGAATCGTACGTCACGAGACCTACTTTCATATTTGGCAAAGCTCTGGTGTCGTCGACGAATTGTGGTAATCTAGTGAACAAATGTTGCACCATGTCTCTCAGGCAATGCTCCGCTGTTCTCCTAAGTATTTCTGCAGAGGGGATATCTCGTTACAATGTATTTGTGACACATTAGCGAAAATGTAAGACCAATTTTACATGCAAAGCTTACCGCTAAGCCGTGTTTCAAAGCATATCCTGAAGCAACTCAGCATAATTTCACATATACTTTCGTTGGAGAGATAGTCGCCAGCAGGTGACAACATAAGAGCTCGCAGAACCTGAAGGATTCTCATGAGGACCACTCCATCTCCAGATGCGTCAGTTCCCACGAATCTGGCATGTGTGACTGCATCGGCGATAGCTTCTACGCAGGATGCTATAGCAGGATGATTGGAATCTAAGAAACAAAATATATGTTGCAACATTATATGTACATAAATATTCTATATCAATGGCTGAGAGCGAAACTGACCGACGAAACCATAAGAAATTATTTTGTTAACAGCAGACAACGCCAGGCTAGTCACTGGTCCTGTGGTCTCCTCAGATCTTATGATTTCCAGAAAGGGTGCAAGGAAAACTCCAGGTTTTAATTGAGACAGATCTTTTGGCTCATTCAATGCATCTTTCAAGGTGTTCAAGCCCTTTATGAGATTATCTTGATCATCATCCTAGAAATTATATTATACAAAAATCACTCAAGATTCATCACAATGTTAATCAATTCTTCCTAGCTTCACACACTGGTCGTGTCATATGGATATCTTGCTGACTAAATATGTCGGAACAGAGCGTGGCACTAATGTGCTTGAGTTGTTCTTTAATTTTTTAAATCCCACACACATGTTAGGACTTATGCTTTGGGCATAAGAGAAGAAATGGTGAAGCTGATACAACACAGCTGATATCCATCAGACGAGTAGATCAATATGAGTTGCAGGATGTCTGTCACCGCAAGACCGCAATCTTGTCGCGAGAAGTGTGGAAGAAAAGAACATTCTCGATCGGCAGACCGATCCCTGCAACCTGTTTGATTGAACAACCAGCAAAATAAATATAAACGTGGCGAGAGACTCGGAAGGAGCTCGGAAGAACGCATAATGTAGAATTATCTGCCGAACATCAGCTGAACCGGGATGAGCGATCTAACCTGGTGAGAATGCGACGACCATCGGGCACCTCGCCGCATTGCCGTCACCAGGAGGCAGACCTCGCCTTCGACGACGTACAGGCCGCCCCTGGGGCCCACGAATTTCGTCGCTTTGCTCATCTCGACGACGGTTTCCTTGTCGTTACGCCATCACGTTCTAATTATTCGCGAAACCTTACGCACACGACTAACAGCAAATAACGACGTACGGAGCCCGAGCTCACCGTCACGTCAGGAACCGCGGAGCCACTTCCAACTTCCAACACGATAACCATCGACCACCGTCGTCAACGTCCATCCGTCGACCCACGAGCCTCGCGGATTAGAATGATGACGTTTCGATTAGTCGATACGTGCTGCTGTCGACAGTAACGTAACCTTGCAGACAGGTGTATTCTCTTAAACCTGATCTACAACATATTTTCTCTGCTTTCTGTTTCTTATTCTTTAGTATTTTCTAGCTTGAGGCATAAGGTGAGTCAGAAAGAGATTAAGAGAGAGAGAGAGAGAGAGAAAAACGGAAAGCAAAGAGCATATTGTAGACAAGACTTTAAGATCTACAAGAGGCTTCGCAGAGACACGCGAAATAAGCCAGAGCCAATTTTCCATTTGTTGTTTTCCACATACAGGAAAAATCATCTCACTATCAGTATTATGATATTTGTAATTATGATGAGGATCGTCGCCGTATAAACGTACAGAGCATTTTTTTTAAGCTTGAAACAAAAACTGCTTAATTTGTTGAAGTGAGAGTTGCACTTGGAGTGCAGGACAAGAAAATATTATTATTTATTATCATTTTTTGAAAAGATTAATTGCAAAATCCGGTTCTGTACTGACCTTGGATGAATGAAAAGAATGCAAAGGCATAAAAATTTTTGCCGAAAGAAATATGCAGGTGTCTGCGAGGAATAATATGGGAAATTGCAGATGCCATGAAAAGTGTAGCTCAGCTTAGCTCGACATTAGCTTGACACAATTTATTTGCTCTTGCGTCCGCATGAGCCTAACTGGCGTCAAAGAACGAGTATTAATTTTTCTTTAAATCAATGCAAGAAACACACACACACACATTTTTTGTTGATATGAAATCAAGTGTTGCTTAAATGTACGAAGCTTTATCTTTACGAGGAAAAAAAAATTGCTTACTTCTTTATCTATATCTTTAGCCTGAAGCATGAAGTCGAACCGTTAAGTAATCGAGTTAGAGCATACGACGACGTTATATTGAGTTAATAAAGAAATAAAATGGTGACTATCAGTTTGACTACCTGACTTAAAGAACGACTTCTGCAAATTGAATTTTCCTCTTTCTTTTTTCCTCTTTCTCCACGTTATCTTCACGCTGATTAATAAGATCAATGGAAAAAGGAATATATAAAGCACAGTGTTGCAATATCGTGATTGAGGGTGAAAATATTTACTTCATACTTTTATAAACAAACAAACGTTGCGAGCGAATGCGAGAGAAATGTGCAAATTCGAGAGATAAACGCAAATTCGTGGCAACGACGTGGCTCGAGTGACGTATGCAAGGTCCGTAAATAGAGAGACGGAGAATCAGGTCCTCTCATCCACTTCACGCGGTTTGGCTCGAAAATGCCGGCGACTGTGGCTCAGCTGATTAACCACTCACACCGAACTCACGCTAAACCATCATGATACTACACGTACATAGTATCACGTGCACCAACACACAGATTCTCTGGCTCCAAAATGGCGGCCGTGGGAGGACCTGACTTCGTTCTGTCTCTATTTACAGACCTTGGACGTATCACGTATGTGTTGTGCGTCAGACATAAAGTTAGCAGTTGGAGAGGAGAGAGTGCAGGTGAGCGACAGCGAAAAGCGCTACTCAGTCGACTACCGCTGTCGTGTCTAGTTGTTCTTTGTGTTTGTGGACGCTTCTTCGTCTTGTCAGATTTGTTTGGCCGAGCAAACGTTCGCTGAAAAACAACGTATCGGCAATCGAAGGCTGTTGAAGGTAAACGAGGTGAAGTTATTGCTGATCTCTCGAGTGCGTTCATTTTTGACCTTTGTTGCAACTGTCCGTGTCCGTACAAAAGTGTAAAGATATTGATTTTCATGATTTATAAGGCAAAGTTTTCTTCGTGGGTATGATATTATCTTTGTGTGTATGCATATGAATATGTATAATTTCATTTTTGCACGAGTTTACTGACATAACTCTGTCAGACTATTTCTTCTCCTTCACCGAAGCACTCATAGTAGCGGATTCGAAGTGTAGTGGTTTCTTGAAGCAACTATCACTCTTTTTTTTCTAACGTGGCAAGGTAACTGTGAGTCATGATGCGTCATTGTGACTGGACGTTGCGTTAGATTTCTATTGAAGCAAGTATTCGAACATATGGAATATTAGCGGACAGGTTAAAGCGGAGGTAACAACGGGATATTCAGTTGTTTGGGATTCATAAATAGGTTATGCTACTCACACACATATGATCTGTTCTTCTGCACCACTGCACTGGTGCAATAAGTTAAAGTGAGACAAATATATACTTGTCTCACTCGAACTTATTGCACTAGTGCAGCGGTACAGAGAAAAAGAACAGACCTAATAGGTTATGCTGTGCTTCAAGTTACGTGCTGCTGTGCAAATAGCGCGGGAATTTTGGGTACGCCGATCGGTGATCGTATTCTATTTTCGACACGAAAGAACATTAATAACGAAGTGAAAGTGATCCCTTTTTATTTCGGTAAATATATAGAAAGAGGTACACCTCACCGGTTTTTTTTTCATTTTGGAATATGTTATAAAGGATAAAATTTTGAGTGACTTCCTGATACAATTATATGGGGGTCGCTTATAGTTTTCGAGATATTTGATTTTGAAGTTGTGGAATTTTGATTATCCTGGAATTAAATTCCAGATATCATAGGCTGACATAAGTTATTTACAGTACAATCCAAACAGTTAATCCAAACATAGTGTGTACACAGAGATATAGGAAACAGTACATATAAGCGGGAGAGGGGCTCTGCCCCCTCTCCAAAAAAATCCTAACCTAACCTAACTTGTTGCATCTTTATATATTGTTGGGCGATGTTGAAAAGATCTCCTTAAAAGCCACAACACCTAATTATATGCAGATATTATAACAAGTTAAGTTGAGCCAGGTGATAGATAATCTTAAGAGAACTTTTTTCAACAATGTCCAAAAATATACAAAGATGCAATAAGTTAGGTTAGGTTAGGATTTGTTTGGGGAAGGGCGGAGCCCCTCTCCCGCGTATACGTACTGTTTCCAATATTTAAAGTGAATGAAAACTGCTTGTCCACTTCAAATATACTTCAGCGTACAATTATAAAACTTTAAAGTCAAATATCTAGAAATTATAAGCGACCCCCATATAATTACTATTAGAAAAGGTCACTCAGAATTTCATCCTTTATAACATATTTCAAAATGAAAAAAATCGGTGAGATGTACCCTTTTCTACATATATTTACCATTATTTTCCTCGTTGAAATTTCTAATTAATTTAATTTCGAACTTGGCCATAAATTGCGTATTTATATAAAAATCGATCTGATGGAGTGATTTATCTTCACGATTCCTTATCTGCAAGCTGCTTCGTATCTGTATATTATCTCCTGATATTGTCTTCTTCAATTCTGAAGAACCAAAGGATATCAAGCCTCGCTTAATTTTGACGACGCACCATTCTTCTCTTCTACATTGCGATCTGCAGTGCACAAAGAACACCGATTTATCCATACGTATTGCGTAATCGGCCGAAATTCAGACCGACGCTTTATTTCTTCCACGAAGCGAAGCTTGATGACTTTAGATTACAAATTGCATTCACTGTCGCATAAATCGCACAATCGTTTCTGCAGAGTCGTCCGTAATAAATATCTAAACGTCTGTAATGAAATGAAATACGAAGGTGCGATAGCATGAATTCCTGCATGTCGTTTTCGAGTTTTTAGCCTTGCCGAGTGTACAAATAAACGGTGATTAACGTTCACACGCGAGACCACAAGTTTGAGGCATAACTGAATGAGTGATCCCTTCAACTCAATAGAATGGGTTCAGTTTCCAGTACGAACAGAGCAGCCATGACTTCAGCGCGAGAGTTCATAGACCAAGCCATCGCCAAGGAATCGGTCGTCATATTCTCCAAGAGTAGCTGTCCGTATTGCAAAATGGCCAAACAGGTGCTTTAACATCACGATTTTATACTTTGATTCTTACAAATGGATCAAAATTCAGTTAATTGATTAATTCAGTGATCACAACTTGTCGTCAATCTTGTCCATATCAAGAGCAGCTCTTTGCACAATATATTAACCTAGGAGAATATGAACTTGTAAATTACTTGATTATTGTAATTAATTTAATTTGCTACTTGCAAGCATATCACTTATTAGCATTCATCATTGTTCATCATTGGTCGCCTTCATTGTATTCTCTTGCAGGTGTTTGACTCGTTAAACAAAACTTACATGGCGATAGAACTGGACGACCGAGAAGATGCTGACGAAATACAAACAATATTGGGCGAAATGACAGGTGCCAGGACAGTGCCGAGAGTATTCCTCAATGGAATGTGCTTGGGTGGTGGTACCGATGTGAAAAGACTGCACGCAAGCGGCGAACTTATAAAGAAATTTTGAAGATTGACAAAATGTCTATATTACAAATATTACATGTTACAATTGATATATTGCAATTAATATTACAAATAACATATTCAGTACTTCAATTACTCGATTGATCTCTAATTCCAATCTAATAAAATGTTGTCATTTTATCTACATGAAAATGCCAAGACAAAGTTAAATTAATTTAAAAAATAATAATATATATATGCTAATGGAGCAGTAAAGGTTATTCTACAATACGTGTCGTAAGTTGTAAGCCGTAAGAACTGACCAATTTTACAAAACAAATCTTTGGTTTGTGAATGCACTTGTGAATATAAAGTTAAGTTAATTCTGACAATATTGAGAATACAAATTGAGGTATAAGTTTTCTGCTATAATTTGCTAAGTTTAAACAAAACTTGAATCAAACATGACAGACAAATAGAATTTATGTCATTGAAGGTTCGAGTTTGTAATAGACTTTTAGTTTCAAAATCTCCGCTACGAGTCGCCACCATATTTAACGAGATTCTACGTCGAATAAACTGAATAGTAGGCTTAGCTATCCCTTTTTATTTCTCATGCCTGTAGATTATTAGTAGTACGACTCAACGTGTAGGCAGCCGCTCTTGACACAATCAAAATTCAATAGACTTTGTTAAAAACTACGATAGAAAACGAGTTTAGCCATTTTAAATCCTGAAGTCTCTATTTTCCAGGAATGTTAAATTCATAACATTGATAATGTTTATCAATGAAATATATCTAGTTAAATGAGAAGCAACGACTATTCGAACCCCACCTTATATTTCAAATGGGTTTTCACATTGCAATTTAATTATGGTATAAAAAGTGTGATAACAGCACCTTGCGAAAGAAACTTTCAGCTTTTTAATCATTGTCAAGCAAACGTCATATACCGATTTACATTTGTCTATTGTGAGTGTTCGAGTTCAAAATGTCATTTTCAATGGAGTTTAGTGTTAAATAATTCTATAAAGAATAATCGTCCTGCAATCTGCGGAGACGCGTACTTAAAGGAAGGTTTGCACTTTCGAATGATATCAATTTCATTTGCTCGTTACCTTTAATTTATCAGGCACAAGTCGACAAACTTTACGACAAATTTTCGAATTTGATGGATTCTCACTTATACTCCTATAACAACGTAAGAAAAGTTAATTAAATTTTATGATCGTAAATATATTTAAAAGCTAAAGACTTTTGAATGCTTGATTCAGCTTCGCTGCCTAAAATGCCTAGTTTCTGTCACTGTGTTAATTGAATGAAAGTTGGATTCTTCACTCGACAACATTGAACATTCTGTTTGTTTGCGCAGCTGAGAAAAGTGATCCTTCGCTTTTCGCGCATCGAGTTAGTCAAGGTAGCTGCGGCGGCCACGATCCGAGCACCACGTGTCCACGTAGGACACCGTAGTGTGAGAGTCCACACGTACACATCTAAAAATACTTGGGCAGTCCTGTGTGTAGTCGTGCGATCACGCCGATGCGATCCGATCGGTCGTCCCGCGCAACGGGATGGATCTGTCGCGGTATCGCAAATTCATCATCTACGTGTTGACGTTCCTGGCGTACGCGTGGTCCGGCTATGGCTCCGGATTGCTGTCGAATCTGCGGGACGCCGTGTTGGCGGCAGAGTCCGTCTTTCACGACTTCTTCGAGAACGCCATCACCGTAGCTAGGAAAATCAAGGACATACACGAGGTGTTCGACGCCGCCGTGGAGGAGAACTGCGTCTTCCAATGTCCCGACGGTAATGCGCGCAAATCCGCGAGCAATTGACGCGTTGTTTTATCAGCGCTCGCCTTATCAGGTTATCGCGGAGTGCTTCGCGGAGAACTCTCGCCATTGGTTGTTTAGCCTGCAAATCAATTGTTTGTTTTGAATACACTTTCTACACTCTGCTCCGCTCCCCTCCGCGCTTTCCGGCCCTTATGCGCTTTTTCGTGTTGGACAAAAAGTGTACTCAGCAAGGATATGTCTACAATTAATCATAACGTAATACAATATAACATAATGAGAAATCGTGTGATATATATATATATATATATATATATATATATATATATATGATATCGCGACTAGTTAGGTTAGGTTATGGGTTACTTTCTCTTCCGGCAACTACGTGAGCATGCAAAACTGACCTGGGACGTTCTGATTGGACGAGAGTCTCAGACGCGCGCTATTTCAATGTTTCAGGGTCCGCGCCGAAACCAGACTGGAATCACAAGCCGCGAAGCAACGGATGCGGCTCCCTTGGAATCGAGGTTAGCGGATTTCCACGGGAAATTAGCTTACCGATAACAAGTTGCGCATGATGAGCATGAATTCGTAATGACGTATTTACGTATTTGGTTCATGATAATAATTGTTCCAAATTATCCCATCATCGATGAAATTGCATTCTAACTTCACAACTCGTGAAATTTATAATTTGCTAATAATTAATAATTAAAATTTATGCAATTTGACTTGCAGCGCACTGTGTCGAATTTATGATTCACTGTATACGGCGCAAACATTAATCTGCACAGTTAGTTAAATCTATATAATTCAACTTATTGCGTCTTCACCGTCACGTTTATCTTTTCAAGTTTTAAAACGCGCACATGGATCTGTAATATTTATTATTATTAATTATTTCCAGGTAAGTCAAGAATACCTCCCGTTGGCTGAGATGACCAAGTGCTGCGACTTCCATGACATTTGCTACGACACCTGCAACACCGACAAGGAGAAGTGCGATCTGGAATTCAAGAGGTGTCTGTACAAGTTCTGCGACACGTATCAAACCACTGGCTTGACGATCGTCAACGCGTGCAAGGGCGCGGCAAAGGTACTCTTCACAGGAACGACCGCGCTCGGTTGCAAGAGTTTCCTTGACGCTCAAAAGGAGGCTTGCTACTGCCCGGACAAGGGCAGTACCCGCAAGAACAAGAAACCGAAGAAAGCGGCGCAGGCAGGTGGCGAATTATAACGTCGCGTCTAACATAAGATAAATCGATGTATTTATTTGTCAAAATGTGTGTGTATTGCGTTGTCGATAGAATTATGTCAAGTATTACGCGAAGAATCTAACGCGGACTTTCAAGCGGATTCAGCGTGGCAGAATCAGATCGATGTATCCTCTGTACGATATAGAAATTTTGTTACAAACGAAACAATAATACTCGTCATAATTATAATTAAGATTTCTTTCTATAGATTGATTAACGGCGTTGAGCGTCGGACGATGACTATCATGACACCACCGTGTCTCACTTAAATTATGTATAAAATACAACTAATTATATTTGACAAATTGGCTGCATACGAACGGCCAATAGGGAGCCAATGAAACAGGACGGAGCAAGACACATGCGTGTCTTGCGCGACATTTATTCGCCATATCCTCCATTGGTCCTCAATTAGTCGTCGATCTCGACTTTTGCGCGATCGATAAAAATCAACGCGTTCAAAACGTCAAAAAATAGGAGACATGAGATCATCCTGAGTGTACATCGTCAGGATGAAAATTGTTTCGTCCGCAACGGGGCTGAGGTATCGAGAGCGTGTGTTTGTCTTTTGAAAAAACAAGGGATAGTCTTTTGCGACGCAAACGTCAATGTGACAACTGTCCTCGGGCGAATCACCGGTCGGTTGGAACCACCGGTGAAAATAGTAAAATTGCCAAGTGTGACGTTACCTTGAATCAAGACAATCGGGAACGCTCCCGCCCCGTGGGAAGCGGAATCTGCTCAGCGAAGAATGGGAAACGCAAACTCCGCGCGGCCGCCCAAGATCCAGAAGGATCGAAAGACGGAAGGCCACGGCAGGTAAGGCTGTTTCAGGCTGTTGTGGCGTCGTTGATCAGGCAAGGATGTTTGTTTACTCTTCTCACGTCGGCAAATTTTTTCGCTAATTTCTTCCTAAAGTTTTAAAGCTCGAGACACGTTGTGGACCCCATCGAACAGTCAGCATTTGTCTCTGAACTCGAAACTGTCACGTCGTTTTATGACGGAGGGCGTTTCTCGCGCTACCAGCAGACTTCGCGATTTCCAAGTTTTGAGGCCAAGTTTTTACGACTCTTGGCGGCGCAGGGAACGACTTTTTCTAATTATCTACTTCTCTTTTACGCGTTACAGTGTTCTTCTCATCAAGTTGGGATGCTGTCCTATGTAGAACGAAGAAGCGGAAAGAAATATTTAACGGGAAACGGAAAGAAATATATAGCGGGAGATAAAATCACGCTAATCTAATTGTCCACTATTTCGTTTCCAATTTCAGGCGTCTGGGGTTCCCCCCATGCGCAGGAAGAACGGAAATCCACAGAAATGAAAAGTCAATTTTTATTAATTACAGTTAATAAAAATAAATATCGAAGAAAAATATGTAACTATAACTAAATCTTAAGAATACTATACAATATGGATGGAGAGAGTTACAGTGTAATTATTCAAGTCGTATCTCGAGCTCGAAGTTAGAAATCTCCTCTTCCGTAGAACGAGGAGCCGACTATTTGAATGTAGACGACGGGGGGAGGGGAGAAGGAGGGATGGTTACTTCCCCCGTTTGATTATTCGTTCGCTGTATCTCGCCCTTCGCCGTTCTACATGGAACGGCATCCTCGGACGAGGCACGAGACGAGAGGCGCGAGCACGATGAACCGCGCAAAAACGTACTTTGCAGTTTTCTCCATTCCACGTAGCGCAGATACCAGAAGAGATCGCAGACGAGCCGCGAACGGAAACGGCAAAGCAGCGGCGACGGCGACGGCGACGGCCGGCACTTCTAGTGCGCGGAACTTCGGCAAGCGTCGACGCATCGACGTGCGCGCCACGAATCCGTTCATCATTTTCTTCCTGCGGCTGCGTAGCCGAAAGCCGAAGGAACCGGTCACCGTGGTGGCGCGGGCCGCGGGCAAGCTGTGGGGCCGCATGTCGGCCGAGCAGCGAAAGAAATACGTGGACCTCGCGAACGAGGAGAAGAAGCGCCGGCAGGAGCGCAAACGACGGAGAAGGCACTCGGCCGCGCGCTCCAGGTAATCATCCGCGGGGAGGGAGGAATCATGATGCAATGAGAAGCGAACGGTAGCTTCGGAGAGTGAGGATCGATCCACAGCGTCAACATTTCTCGGGCGTGAAGAACATCGCGCGGTAAAACATGGTAGAAAAATACGCCACGAAAGACGGATTTCATTACGGATATTTGTAACCACCTTATCCGATGATAAAATAAAAAGAGGTACGTCGTGATAAAAATGTCGCCGTATATAAATGATCTTTCGTAGTGTCTCTCGAAGAGCGAGGCATTGTGTATATTCCACGCGAGTCCGCGTGACTCGCGCGAGAGCCGAAGCTTCAACGCGACCACTTCGATCCACTCTCTCGCTCCGAAGCGACCCTGCGCGCGCAGACGAGACGCACGGCTGGCTCTAATCGCGTTCTGGTGTCCAGGATGAAGTAGCGGGTGTGAAGCTGCGGAGGAGGTGCGAGCCTCGGCTGCGGAAAATCGCGGACGATTCTGCGCCTGTCGTCGGCGTGTGCTATGCGTAGTACTACGCGCGTACTCGCACTTATCATCATCATCACTCTCGCTGTGTGACATCTGCAAATGACCAGAGCTCGATTATCGTGTGTGTTTTTGATTTCTTTTTTATTTATTAGATTTTTTTAGATCTATGTACAATAAATATCAATATATTTTTACACTATTATGGATTCATCATTTAATTACCCTAAACTAGGCGCGATCCGCCCTTATTCATCTTCGCCCTTTCTTTTTCGTCTGAAAAAATTAAGTTCGTAACGAGTACCATAAATATATTATATTTTTTGTTGTTCTCGCGACCGTTCCGCGAAGCGTCGCCCACGACGGGAGGGGAAATTGCGCGTCTCGAGGAATATACATACATTCGCGAGGGTAACGCGTTTCGGGGAGTTGCGGCGCGTGGGTGACGACGTCGTTACCCGTTTTTCTCATCCTACTTCGTCGCGCGAGAGGTTTCCTTCTCCTCCTCCTCCTCTTCCTCCTCCTCCTTCTTCCTCTTCTTCTTCTTTTTCTTTTTCTTCTTCTTCTTCTTCTCCTCTTCCTCCTCCTCCTCCTCCAGCTTCCTTTTTTTTGCATTTTCTTTTTTTAAGAGCAGTGCTCTCGCGTCACTTCGATACAAAAAATAATTTCAGCACGAGACCTCGCGACGCTTCGCCGGAAGAGCCGAATTGCGCGCTCCGTTATTCCTTCCGAAAAAACTATTATAGAGCTACCCTCTCGCGATACTAGATAATAAAAACATACGCGTACGTAGAGATAACGAATGAACGTTCTCGTGTGTGATATCGCAATCGACAATTAAAATATTAAATCAGTATATGTGTGTGTGTGTGTGTGTGTGTGTGTGTGTCTGTATGTATGTGAATACGACGCGACTTTGTACGTAGACGCATGTATCGTAATTGTAATGTAATGTTATGTAGCGCAATGCGATGCAATGCGACGCGAAGCGATACGACGTAACGCAATGCAACACAATGCAATGCAATGCAATGCAATGTAATGCAATGCAAGGCAATGTATGTATGTACGCGTACACATATACATGTACGTGCTCTGCCATGAGCGCCACTCCGTCATTTGCGACAGTAGCAGCAAGTAATAACGGATTAATCGATCGATTGGTCAATCAATTAACGCAATAGCAAATAATAATATTAACAATCGATAAAACCAGATGCGTGACACAGCGACGTTTTCCTTTCCTTCCTGCTTCGCCAGGACCAGCGGTTTGTTTCGACGCGACAGTACGCCTCGGCGACAGTAATATACGATCTCGAGTTTAATTTCCTTCCATAATAATACAATGAGAATTACGATAGCGATAAGTAGCTACTTTCCTTTCGTTCCTTTTTACGTTTATGATACAGTAAAGTACAGTGTGCCTCGAAGAAAACTTAAACAACAACGTTCAACAATCGATAATATTAAACAGAATTATCCGCAAATATATATTTATATATATTTATATATATATAAATACACAAAACGTAACATGTAGTTTCGCGAAGGAATGCCCTACTAAAAAATAGGTGTCCGCATTTATCTGTTTTTTTCTTCTTCTTCTTCTTCTTCTTCTTCTTCTTTTCTTATTTTTTCCCTTTCTGTTCCTGTTTGCTTTCGTTTATGCGGGGAGAGGCGTAGGGGAAAACACGATACTTCGGCCGATCGTTCGTCGATCCGTCCGAGGTAACGGATTTGTATATTCGTATTTTTCTTCTTTCTCCCGTCTCTCTTTTTTTTTCTTTTTTTTTTAAATGCACAAGTTACGAACCCGTGCTTTCGAGAGGAGTTATCGATCGATTAAATTGTATTACGATTAAATTGTACCTTGTGTGCAATCTTTGTCGACAAGTTAAGAATTCGTTTAATACGAGCCCTCGATCGAGCACGGTGAAGAGAAAAAAGATGTACCCACACTCCTATCCGCGACGGTATGGAGGGTATGACAATTACTTTCTTTCTCTCTCTTCCTTTCTTCCTTCAGCACCTCCGGGAAACTTTGACCCAGGGCGCTGAACGGATTATCGTTTTCTCTTCATTTTCCCTTTTTCTCAGGTCCCGCTTCGTTTCTTCAAAAGTGAGCGTGCAATTGAGATACATGCTAAAAAATATCGCGGGGGGGGGGAGGGAGGAAAGAGCAGAAGAACGTACGACTCTTAATTCGCAATTCCCTATACTCCTCTATTGTTAGCAAGCGCCGGCTAAGACGCGTATTTGCGAATGACGCATTTGGAGAATTATGAAGTATTATCGTTTCCGGAAGGATACTCCGTTTGAACTCGCCGTCGCGCCAATTTTTTTACCTTCAGACACGAGAGAGAAACACCGAGAGGGGATAAGCCTTTAGGAACGACGTGTCACACGATTCTGCGCGTGTACATTATTTATCCGATGACGCGCATCTACTTTTTTAGTGCCTCTTTTACTGCGATTTATTGCGGATATCGAGAGAGAGAGAGAGAGAGAGAGAGAGAGAGAGAGAGAGAGAGAGAAAAAAGAGAAACAGAAATAACTCGTGGTCTTCTCTCTCGCAGACGCGTCATCGTGATTTAAACGAGTGCTCGAAGCGGTCTACAGCGGCAACGTGTAGTTCATGGCACTTCTCAGGAGACACCTTAAAACCAATAATCGAGTTAAAGTCGCCACGCATCATCGAGTGACTAAAAAATCATTTTACCGCGTGCAAAATCGCGTGAAATCGCGCGAATGATTGCCGACAATAGTATTCTTTACGCAACGATACCGATCACGCATTCTCCAAATCGCTCGTTGTTATTCGCGAAAACACGTCGTCCAGCGCTGATTATCCGCGCGCGTTTCTCGATTCATCGCTCGTGAATCGTCGCAGCGAGCCTACCGACTGCGGCGAGCGACCTCGCCAAAGAGAGAGAGAGAGAGAGAGGGAGGGGGGGGGGGAGAGAGAGAGAGAGAGAGAGAGAGAGAGAGAGAGAGAGAGAGAGAGAGAGAGAGAGAGAGAGAGAGAGAGAGAGAGAGAGAGAGAAAAAGAGAGCGAGCACCTTCGTATTATCTCGGAGATTCTCTGGGGAGGAGAGTCCCCCCCCCGCCGAGCCGAGAGGGCGAGAGCCTGCTGTGTTGCGCTGCGTTGAAAGCCGGCCATGGTGGTGCGTGATGCGATGCGGTGCGGTAGAAGAAAGGCGATGGACAGCGCTCGATTCCCACGGGCAGAGCAGGCCAACACACAGCCGATGGAAGCAAGTGGAGAGCGGTGGTAGCCGGAAAGGAAGTACGAGCGCAGACGAGCGAGGCGTCGTCGTCGTCGTCGCCGTAGGTCGCCGTACAGAAGAGAGCGTTAACTTGTCGTCGCGCGTGAGAGCATTTACCAACCGTACTGCGCGTAGATTCTCGTTCGTTCTCGCTCACTCACTGCTCGCCGCGGCCAAGAGCGATCCTCCTTCCCGTTCTCGGGCGAGAAGAAGCCAGAGATCCGTTCGAGGCGCTGCGGGCGCCTTAACGCGGCCTCATGGTGCTGTTGAGCGGCTGCATGAGGCCGTAGCCGTGATACGTGGTGTACACCGCCGCCGGGTTCTGCTGGTGGGGATCCTGCGGATACGGCGCGGGCACGTTCACCACGCCGACCGGCAATTGACTCGCCTGATTCATAAAGCCGCCCAGCTGCGCCTGGTTCATATACGTGCCGGCCGGCTGCGCCATTCGATAGCTGTACTGCGCGGCCGCCATGAGATTCGTGTTGAGCGCGACGTTCGGACTGACTCGGCTGGCGGCGCTCTGCATCTGCGGGCAGGTGGGGCTCGGGTCAAGGGACTGCCGGTAGAGGCCTTCGCTAGGGTACGGCTGCGTGAGCGACGCCATGTTCGCCGGGTTAGCCGACGACCTGGAGGCGGAACGGCTGGGCGGGCCGGGTGTGCCGGGTGGCACGGTGTTGACGTTGTAGTAGTTCTTGGCGTAGCCAAGCGGCACTTGCGGTGGCGTCGCCAGCTGCCGCGACGTCTGCGGCGGCGTCATGGTGTGGGGGATCGGCGGCGGTGGCGTGAGGTTCATCGCCGGCGACGGCGTCGGCGGTATCATCTCCAGGCCGTTGGTGAGCTGCTGCAGTTTCGCGAGGCTGCACGAGTTGGTGGTCTGGTGATTGCCGGAGGCCGACAACGGCGGCGGCGCCGGGGTGTGCGAGTGCGGCGGCATCGCGCTGGTCTGTATGTAGAAATTCGTCGTGGTCGTGCAGGGCGTAGGCGCGCCCGACCGGCCACTGCGGTGCTGGATCACGTAGGTGTTCTGCGTGGGAAAGCCCTGCGGCGAGCCCGCCACCGTCATGTAGTTGCCCTGAGAGATCACCATGTTGTGCGAGTGCGCGGCGTGCGCGGCCGCGGTATGCGAGTGCGGGTGAGGCGGCATCGGCGGCACGCTCATCGACGACGACGGGGACTGCTGGTATTGCGGCGGTATCGGATGCGTGCTCGTGTGCGCCACGGTACTATTGCTGTGACCGCCGCCGCTGCCGCTACTCTGCGACGTCGTATGCTGGGAGGTCTGCGTGTGAGGCGTCGCCGGTGGGGTGGCGCGATGTGACGACCTGCTGCTGCTCTGCTGCGTCGACCTGGACCTGTGAGTCGTCTGCGAGCCGCTCGCTCTCTTGCTGTGTGACTGCGACTGCTGTGCTTGTTGCTGCGGTGCTTGCGACGGTTGTTGATGCGCTGACTGTTGCTGCTGCTGCTGCTGCTGCTGATGCTGCTGCTGCTGAGACTGACTGTGCGCCATATTCTGATTCTGGGCCTGTTGCGCGAGCGATAGCTGCATCGGCTGTGGCGTGTGCGCCTGGGGTAAAGGCTGCGGCGTGAGACTCTGTGGCATCGGCTGCGGGCTCTGAGTCGGTATACTTTGCGGCGTGTGAGACTGCGGCGGCAGGGGCTGCGGTGTTTGACTCTGCGGCAACGGCTGCGGGCTCTGAGTCGGTATGCTCTGCGGAGTGTGCGACTGCGGGGTACGCGGTTGCTGAAGGGACTGCGGCTGCGGATGCATCGGATGGATGCTCACGTGAGCGGGCGGCGTGTGCTGCGGCATCGAGCAGTCGGCGTATTGCACCTGTTGTTGTTGTTGTTGTTGTTGTTGTTGTTGTTGTTGTTGTTGTTGTTGGTGCTGTTGCTGCTGCTGCTGTTGTTGCGCCTCTCTTAACGTCGCCGCCGCCGCCGCCGCCGCTGTCGGTATGTTCACCGGCATCGGTGACGACGACGACGTTACCGGCGCGGTAATCTGCTGCATGGGTACCGTCGTCATTGGCACACTAACCGGCGGCGGAATAGATGGCAACGCACTGGGTGGTCGCTCCACGCTGTTCTGCGAGGCGAGGTCGCTGGCTATGGAAGTGGGCGACTCCAGGCCCAATTGACTAACGTCCAGGTCACACTGACCGTAATGAAGCGAGTGCACCGAGTTGGTGGTTGAGTCTGGCGTGTACACTCCCATAGACGGTAGATCCGGCTGCGACGGTGGTGTCCGCTTCACCGAGCCTGGGTTCTCCAGGTGCGGGGTCGTCTTGCCGCTCTCAGGCGAGTGCTGCTTCAGCTCGTCCGTCTGAGTTTGCAACTGCAGCGTGCTGTCCTGCTGCTCCAATGCTACCGTGGGCAACGTCTTCTCCTGCGGTGTCAGAGGCTCGACCTCCGTGCTATTCACCGTCGTGTTATTGGCGAGCACGCATGTGCTTCGTTTGTCGTTTGCTGTCATCGCGGGAGACGCCTCCGTCTTTGGCCGCGTCAAGTCAACCTTCGCAGTGTTCTTGGGCGTCTCGCGGACCAACTCCTCCTTGGGGTCATCTTTCTTCGGCAAACCGGCGATCTCCGACTTGTCGACTTCCTCCTCTTTTGGTGAAGCAACTTCAGGTACTGTTTTCGATGCCTCCGGACTGCAGGCGGGCTTTTCAGTCTCGGAGTCCTTATCACATTCGTTTAAAGTTTCAGTCTGATCGTCGCCGACCGGTAGATCCGCCGTCGCCGTCGCCGTTGCCGTCGCCGTCGCCGTCGCCGCCGCCGCCGCCGCCGCCGCCGCCACCGCCGCCACCATTGCCGTCGCTGCCTCCGCTTTCAGCGATGAGCTCTCGTTCTCTTTCTTCATCACCTGCGACTTATCGTCCGCTGCTTTCTCGTCGTTGCAAGTCATCTCCTTCACGGGCTTCTCCGCGATAGGCGACAACGGCCGCTGCTGCTTTTTCTCGCCGGTCACGGGTTTAGGCATCGGCGCGGATATCTCTTCCTCTTCGCCTTCGTCCTCGTCGCCACCTTCGTATTCACCGGGACTCTCGGACACAACCTCCGTTTCCGGGGTAACGACCGACCCATTGTTCTCCTCCGCGTTCTCACTCTTGTTATCGCCGTTGCTGACTGGCGCAGCGTGCTTCGACGGCAGATCCGTTACGGACGGTTGCTTGCTACGAACGGAACCGTTCTTCACGGCGTTTTCCGCGGGTGGCGGGGATAACGACGGCGGCTGTATCACAGGACTCTCGGCTCTGTTCTTCGTCGGAGCTTCCGGCGTCAATTGCGGCATCTTCAGAGCTTCCGCCGCCGCCGCCGCCGTAGTCGTCGTCGTCGTCGTCGTCGTCGTTGTTGCTGTTGTAGGAGTTGTCGTGGGAGTTGTCGTCGGAGTTGCTGCCGTTGCCGCTGCCGCCGCCGCCGCCGCTGCCGCCGCTTTGGTCCTACCCCGTCTCGACAGCGACGAGTTCTTCATCGGGTCTCGCGTCTCTTCCTTGCCGCCGTTACAGTGCGTTTCCTCCGGCGCTTTCTTCTCCTTCGTCTGCTTCGTCTGCTGCATGTATTTGGACTGCCTGCTGGTGACCTTCAGCAAGATATCGTCCACCTTGCACTGCTTCTTCGACGAGTTTCTCTGACCCAGCGGAGTCGAGGCTCGTCGATTTGACTCGGACTTGAGAAGAGTCTTCTCCGCTGACGTTTCCTTCGAAGGCTCGCTTTCTTTCGATTTGTCCTTGTCCTTTGTCCTCTCCTTCTCTTTGTCACGTTCCCGCTCAGCCTCCCGGTCGCGCTCCCTGTCCCTCTCCCGCAGAGACTCTCGTGTCCTTTTTCTGACGTTGGTCTCCTCCTTGTCCGCGACTTCAATCTTGTCGGAATGTTTTCGTTTCCTCAGCGGCGTCGTGACGACCGACGACTCGGCTAGATACGTCTTAGGCGGCCTGATCCTCCTTTTCGACATCGTCATCGTCACCTGCGGCGTCGTCGTCTTCGGCGGACTCGTCGGAGCCGGAGTATTTTTTGCCGAGCTGACCGCGCGAGAAGTTCTCGTCGTGGACGCCGGGGTGCCGCTCTTCGCGTCAGTGTCCGCGTCTTTCCGGCTGTCCGTGTGCTCGACGCTACTATTGGTGCGACTCTCCTTCGCGGATTCTCTCGATTCCCTCGACTCTTTCGGCGTCTTGACTTCTCTCGTGTCCTTGGTGTGCTCCTTCTCTTCCTTGACCGCCTCCTTCTGAGGCGCGCTTCTCTGCGGGGTCTTCGGCTTCAAAGGTGACGATCTCCTCTGGCCGATTCTCCTCCCTCTCGGTTTCTTCTTAATCTTCACTCTCTGTATCTTTTCGACGATCGCCGCTACCGGCTTAGGTTCCACCGCTGGAGACACTTCCGAGCCGGTGTCGCCGCTCTCTTCTGGATTCTGATACGGGTTAGGTATCTGAGTGAGCAACGGTATCCATCTGAGACAGTCGGGATCCAGCTTGATGCGTGAATTCTTGCGCACTTTCGCCATGTGAGCGTCCACCTTGTTCCAATCGACTACCACAGCCATTTTGGAGTTCGCCTCACCCGGCAGGTATACCGACTTGATGAAACCCAGCAGTTGCATCGCCGTGGCGATGTCGTGCGCCGACACGCCGGTCTCCTTCGTGATATCGTCGAGCTTGATGCCGTTGATGTTCCGATGCGAGTCCAGGTACTCGAGCACCACGCTCTTCCAGAAGGAATGATACGACACACGACCGAGATCCGAGAGCGGCTTCTCCGGCGTGCCCGGGATGCCCTCGACTTTCGACAGGAGATAGCTGAACTCTATGAGAAACCTGCCGAAGCCCTGCCTCTGATACTGCGGTAGTGTCATGATGCAGGATACGTTGTACCTTTGAGCCGGACAGTGCTTCTCCTTGCTGAAGTAGCCCACCAAGTGGCACCCGTGCCTGTCGTTCTTGGTCACCGCGTAAAAGAGAAACGGCTCCACGTCGTAATAAAGCGTCTTGTGATCCAGGAACAGCTTGGCCAGCAGACATAGATTCTGACAGTATATCTTGTTCACGTTGCCATCGATCTGCAACAACGAGGCGATTCCTCCTCAGTTGGTAAACACAACTTTCTTTTGTGCGCGCGAACTGGTACATTATAAAGATAACATTGAACACTTCCTCTTGTGTGGTGAGGCTACAAGTGGTGTGGATCCATTTACTCGCAACCACACACCAGTTTTGAGCGTCGCTCAAACCTGGCTGTGAGTAGAAAAGCAATAAAATAATCATACATTTTATGATGTGAAAGAAAAGCAAATACAGTGTGACGAAGATGCGCGCCTACCTCGAAGACGGACAGTCCGTTACACCTGTAGATCTCGGTCGCAGGTGGATGCCTCCAGTGGCACTTGTCCATATGCCTGTCGAGCACCGCCCGGCTCTTCGTGTACTTGAGGCAGAACTCGCAGAAGAACAACTTGGGTAGCCGCGCGTATTCCTGAGGGAACGGACTCGAGTACCAAGTCTCGACCTCGTAACGGCCAAACACTATCGCCGCAGGATTTCGCGCCGCGCTGCCGGGCGTACTGCTGGCGGACGGTTCGCTCTCGTCGTTGTTGGCGGTCAAGCGGGCCGCCCGTTCGCGTGCCTCCCTAAAGAGGTCCGCGTCCTTCTGCGTAACACCCGGCGGCAAGAATTTTGACACAACAGGTTCGTCTGTAAAAAGAGGAAGGCACTTGATGAACACGAGCCCGAGCCGAGTCAACACGCGACGTTGTTCTAACGCAACAATTCGTTCGGTCTCGTTGCGGTCTCGTCTCGGTAGAAATCGGTCGAAATTTTTCCATACTTGTCGTCGAATCATTAATATCGAACAAATCAGATCTTCGTGTGTACGACTTGTTTAGACTTTAACCGCTTACAATTTGTTGTATGAGAAAAAAAAGATACGGAGAAGAAATGTGTCTCGTGTAAAAGAAATCTGATGGACGAAATCGATAAAAACAATGAGAAAAATGTCAGGAACGAACTCGGCATCGAACGTGGTAAAATGCGTTCGACGCGCGCACGCACTTCGGTATAAAAGAGAACAAAGGAAAACGTTAACACTAAAGTACGTTACGGCACGTGTCGACGACGTTCCGCGACAAAAGACAAGGGGATAAACGGTGTGCATTACGTCGCTGGTGTAACTCGCACTAGATACGAGATGCATTACACAAAAAGCGAGGATAATCTCATCATCACCCATGACTCAGGTACGTGAACATGACCCTCCCTCTGGACGATTTAGTAGCCATTATATTTTTAGACTAACGGAGGGATTATTAGCCACGTCCTATTGTAGGAACCGACTGGTCAAAAAGTGGATCTATATTAAACCATAGGAAGCTAAATTAAATCGATCGGCGCATGGTGTGGTGACCAATAGCAACCCCACGTGATACAATAACGTCAAAGAACGATAAATGAAAAAAGAGGGGAGAAAAGAAAAGAAAAGGGGAAAAAAAAAAAACAAGAAGAAAAGGAAGATATTATAAACGGAAAAGAATGCGGTCAACAACTCCCGATCGCTGTTAATAATGTGAGTAGTATTCCAAAGCAAAGCTGTGGGTTAGGTTTTTTGTGGGATGTGTTGGCAGAGTATCAAAGTTCTGGCTCTTCGTCGGCACAGGGACTTCTCTTTTGTGAAGAAGGGGGTGAAGGGGGGCGGTGTTATACAACAGTGCCTGCTAAATGTCAGCAGCAGCAGGTAGGCTCCAGTGTGAATGGTACAAGGGGGCGGCTGAGTGAGATAAGCCACCCATAGTGCCGTATTTCTCGTCAGCGCCTGGAAACACTCTGATTGTAGTCGTCTCGTTTTTACAGGCTGACAGAAGGGAGAGAAGAGCTGAGAAGGAACGAATATCGTCAATCTCTGAACGTGTTGGATCGAACGTTAACAAAAACGACGACGGTAAGCTCGGCGCGTCTCGCGTGTCGTCGTCTTCCCGCGTCGCGGGATCTCGATCGAGATCGAATTCCAGCCGTGTTTCTTCGGAAAGTGGGCCGCGTTTTATCATCTGTAAAAACGCAACGACAATGCTCGTGCCCGGACGCCGCCGCCGCCGCCGCCGCCGCCGCGATACATGTGGCGGAAGCCACAAATCGGACCACAAATCGAGATTTCGATCGCGAACGGTCGAAACGAAAGAATACAAAAATAATCGGAAAATTATCCCAATGTACAAGATGAGATATCCGAGTGAAAGTTGTGCGAATTATATGTCGTGTTACATTATATATGTACATTATGGTACGGTGCATATTTGCAGACGCAACTATACAGTCGTGTGTGTGTGTGTGTGTGTGTGTGTGTGTGTTCTGTACAAGTACCTATCCTGACAATAACCACGGTGTTGGTTGCAAAAGAAAAGAAAAAGTAGACGTAAGATGATTGAGTCCAAAGTAACGAATGCATGATTAAGAGGCGGCTTCTCTCTCTCTTCCTCTCCCTCTCTCTCTCTCTCTCTCTCTCTCTCTCTCTCTCTCTCTCTCTCTCTACACGTTAGTACGTATCCCTTGTAAAAGTCTCGTCGTAATTTCTCTCGACACTCGACAGCCGTCTCCCAAAATGTATGTAGCGTGGATTAAAGGAAACAAAATGCCAGAGCCAAGTAATAACATGATTAACAACATGCAATAACCACAGTATTCACAGAGTGTAAAACAAATGGGAATAGCTTCTTTTCTTCTTACACGTCGCCCCCAATCGCCAGTCACGTCTCCGTATAATTCTCTGCGATTGTGTATGCGACTACCCTCGGATTACGTTATCGCGAGATATAACCATTGGTTTTACACCATGTGGCGGATAAACGTCTCACCAAGGAACCTGATTGTTCGTGATTAAACTATAATCGTGATCGTTGTGATAGCGACGCGAAGACAGGACATCCGCAAGTATATCGGTAGGTTTTCCTCGGATTATCTGATACTCGGTATCTGACGGAACAATCATGTTATCTTGGAAGATGTTATATGGTCACCAGACGCTCGTGTACACACGCATCATACCACACCATCACAGCACACCACACCGCCAACACATCCACGTGGTCGTGAGCGAGGATTAGATTAGAAGGAAGTCTTCTTTTTCGACTTTGGGTGCATCATCGAGGTTAGGACTTGTGAACGGGTGGGGTAGACTCTTACCCTTCCTGGTGGAGCAGGGTGTCGCGCGGGGTGTCGTGGTGGTGTTGGTGGTGGTGGCGCTAGTACAGGCTCGTGGATTGGACTTTGGACTGGGATTTGATTTGACGGAATCGGAGCTGAGGCCGGACTTTGCAACGGGACCGGGCACAGGGTGGCGTGACTGACTCGTATCCGCAGCCGTGTGCTTCTTTCGCGACTGTTGTTGTTGCTGTTGCTGCTGCTGCTCGTGTCTCAACGATGACGATGACGGTGACGAGGGGTCTGCGACGGCGGCGCACTTAATGAGCGACGACGCGTCGTCTTTCATTAACTTTCTCCTCTCGTGCTCGTGCCTCTTACTGTTCACCGCGGTCTTCACCAGACTCGACGGAGTCATCTTCGGTAGTTTCTCGTTTAGCGAAGAATACAGACTCTCGTCGGAAGGAACGAAGATACCAGGCTTCGGTATTCTCGACATGATCTCGACGACTTCGGTCTTTTTCCGTTCCTTCGACTTACTGGGCGAATCGTCCGATTTGCTTCGCTGGTTAGCACCGATCCGCGAGGAGACTCGATTGGTCTTCGCCTCAGCGTTATCCTCAGCGTTAGGCCTTTTCCTTCTATCCGGCGCGTAATTCGGCGCCGGCACGCCCGCCGATCTCGCTCTGCTAGGTGCTGAAAAAAAGTGGCTCAAACCGTCGAAGAGGCTTCTCAACTGGCCGCTCCCGGGTTTCACCTTGTTGTCGGCGCTCGCAAATCCGACGCCCGGCGACTGCACGGCGGCATTGCGTTCGAATTTCAGCGGTTTCTTTCTGCTGTCTGACGCAGCGGCGGCCGCGGGCTGTATGTGCAAGCCAAAAGTCGGCGTGTCGCCCACGTCGAGCTTGGGTACCGGAGCGCCGAAGGTGTTGGTGATATTGCTGAAGAAAGGCGACTCTACGTTCAGTTTGGCGGCGGCGGCAGCGAAGCCCCACGGCTTGTCCTCACTGAGGTCGCAGGCGAACGGCACTTTCGTCTTGGGAGACTCGATTCTGTCGTGTTGCGCTTCGTCTGACGACGAGCAGGAATCGCTGCTCTCGCTCGAGCTATTGCCTTCCTCATCATCGTCCTCATCCTCGTCGTCATCGTCGTCGTCGTCGTCGTCGTCGTCGTCGTCATCGTCGTTGTCGTCGTTGTTGTTCTCGTCATCGTCCTCGCTACTATCACTGCCATCCGAGCTCCCGCTGCTGTTACCGGCCTCGCTACTGCTGCTACTGCTGCTGCCTTCGCCGGCGCTGCTACTGCTGGACACTCGCGACGTTCCAGACTTTTTCGAATTCGCGGTACCTCGAGTCGACCTAGCGCTAACGTTCCGCGAGGGTTTCGTTTTATCACCGCCCCCCACCCGCTTCAATTTACTGTGCTCAGCGTTAAACGCGCTCAATCTAAAGAACTTTTGCTTCTCCTTGGAGATCCTGTCGTTCTTTTCCTCGAGTAGCCTACCCTGGCCTGCGAGTGGGGTGGGGGGTTGTGGTAAAGGAGAGGAATTCAAAGGTGGTTGACGAGGGGAGACAACACCCGCATTACCGTCCGAGCTGCTGTCCACCTGAGCCAGTCCCGCACTCCCTCTCTTGCTCGGGTACGCATTCGCCAAGCATTTTCTGGATACCATCGATCTGTAAAAGAAAACATCACCGCGAGGTACATTAGTTTACCCAGTCCGATGTCCAGAAGGAAGAAGAAATCATCGCGTGGTCGTATTCACCGATGCGAGCATGCATTGTCGTTAGGTCGATTCACAGAGGTATATTCTCACAGAGAATCCCGACGTAACTATATTGAAAAGCTTTACGTTCAAACAACAATGAACACTTGTTCGGAGCGTTTGTGGGAAAAGATTTCCCTACTCCCTACTTCATCACCAGGACTCGACTTTGTTCGTTAAACGTTAGATGTTACGAGGCGCGTGACAAGTTCTACTCGTTATTATATTCTAATATTAGTACGTTTCCCTCCATCGCGCGCGAATACACCACATGCATACCACGTGCGTACGCTCCCCCCCCCCTCTCTCTCTCTCTCTCTCTCTCTCACACACTCACTTTCGATTCTCCCGTAACTTCAGCCTCTTCCTCGCGCTGTTCGTCGTGTCGTCATCGGCTGAGTCCTGCGCCCTGTTCTTCTTACCGTCGTCCTTGCCGACCGGAGTATGGGCTGTTAGGCAGTGCCGACATCTCCAAGGCGCTCGGATCTTCTTGTCGAGGCCGGTGTCGAGGCAGCTGGGGTGGTAACACTTGATGCAACCGGCGCACTTGACCAGATAATTCTGCGACTCTCGTTCCAGATGACAACCGGAGCAAGTCGGCGAGCAGCCGTCGCAGGACCAGGTTATCCCTCGGTCGACGAACATCGAGAGTTCCGGCGGAGCGCAGGAATTGTGCAGAGCGGCACCGCAAGCGATACACCTGCTGAGCTTCTCGCTGGAGTTGCGCCTGTTGTTGTTGTTGTTGTTGCCGGCCACCGTGGCGCCAAGGCACTCTCTGCAGATCGGCAGCGGTGCTGATGGCTGCTGCCGAAAAATGAGCAGGGAACAATGTCTAATTAAGTATCTCTGACCCTATGGTCCTCTCTCTCTCTCTCTCTCTCTCTCTCTCTCTCTCTCTCTCTCTCTCTCTCTCTCTCTCTCTCTCTCTCTCTCTCTCTCTCTCTCTCTCTCTCTCTCGTACAAGAGGAAATAAATACAGTATATAAATATATAAAAGAAAATGGTAGAGCCCAGTAAACATCGATATCTTGTAGACATCTAAAAGATATGTCTTTAGAAGATGTCTAGAAGGTGTCTAGAAAGATATCTAAAGATTTAGTTGAAGATGTCTTTATAGGATTTTCTAAAAGATATCTACAGACATTTAAAAGATGTCTGGAAAGACATCTTTGACCCCTTCCGTGGCAGAGCAAAATTCATTAAAATGCACTGAAACCGCCCCACAAAAAATGACGGGGCGGATTTTTTCAATAATTTGTATACTTCAGTTTTTTTGGTCGCCGAATCCGAATTTGAGGTCAAAATATAGAAATTCACTAAATGTTTAACCGTGCCACTTACGGCACGGTTTTGGCTGGACGCACCGGTGGCGTCCGTGCCACGGAAGGGGTTAACATTTAGATCCCTAAAAGATATCTTTTCGGAAAAATGTAAGACATCTCAAGAAATCTGAAAGATATCTTTTTGTCTATTTGGGAGTAGACCCGGAGACTATAATATAGTCTGGTATATCACGCGGAGCCTATTATATTATATTGTATTATAAGGACTCGTGTGATTCAAACATGGGAAACTTGTAGTATTCAGTGTAAAATAATATTTATAGAGCGTGCGTGAGGGGATGGCGAGATAAAATCGAGACTTAAATTCCAAGCATCCGGCACGGAGATGGACAATGTCCTTTTTCTCTCTCGTGGACGGTTTAAGGACGAATGCTATGAAATTACAAAGTAGGCTGCATCGTTCAAGGCGCTCAAGGAGCCTTGACGCCGGCTGCGTCGATTCTCGCGTATCGGCCACTCGATACCATCTACTGTTATGTATCGCGTGTGCAAAAGGCGAACGAGTCCCGGGCGCAGAGCGTAATTATTCATTTCGGCGCGGCGCGGCGCGGCGATAACGCAGGAACGCCGGTTAGGCAACGCGGTGCACGCCGCACTTATATGCGTCGGAAGGGTGCATGTTATTAAGAGAGCGTGGGTGAGAAAGCCAGCAACGCCGGTAACACACAACGGTAACGATAATTTCGAGGAAAACGCCGCCGCCCGAACAGAACAATGAGACAGCGTGCAAATTGCCAAGAGATGCGAACTCTTAATATCGCGCGGAGGTGTAATTAATCGAACACGAAAGCGATACCGCAATAATACCCGCGATACGTTGCCGATACGAGATAAGTTTACAGCGCAAAAAGAAAACAATAACGGAACTTGCGAGCCGGACATAACGGCGACAGGCTGCGGCAAAAGCAGCCTACGGAGAGAAGTGTCTCGTAATTACCTGAGATACTCTTTCCGTGTCGACAATGAGTAGAGTATACCATCTGTATCTCCATTTTGAAATTAGGAAGTTTTTGTTGCAATACCGTCTCTCTCGGACACGGTAAACGTAAATCGTGAATGCTATCGGTCGCGTACATTGCGACCGATTATTTCTGAGCGAATAAACGTTCACATGATTGAGAGAGACGGTATTGCAAAACACTTCCTATTTCCTGCTGCACAAACGGACGACTTCCAGACAATTTGCTTACGTAATCTTAAAAAGATCTTTTCGACGTAATCTCTTTTTCAGTTTTCAATCATCGCGTTTCGTAGACCGTTTCGCAACAAGTGTGAACTTCGCGCGCGCGACAAATAACGCCGCGGCCGCGGCTCGTTCCAACTGGAGGATGTTAAATTTCAAAGAGAAAGCACAAGATATGCGCGCGCGATTTGCCTCCGTTTCTCGCACCGACAGCGACCTGTTGCGCGATTGGCCGACTCGCTCGTGAATGCTTCACGCGCCAACATTACCCGTTAATTTCATTCTACCTCGAAGTTGCGAGGGCCGCAACAGAGCCCGCGGGGAACAAGTCACCGTGACTTCGAGCGGAATTGTCCGATATCGTTACGCCGCGACTGCCGATACAACGAGTTGCTGAACTCACTCGATCGCGAGGCAACAACTGGAGCTGTCGGAGGCGGCAAACCGCTCTATTTTGACTTTGAAATTTCAAAACGTCGATCGCGCAATCGTACCTGCGAGCTCAGCTAGTTCAAGCGGAGACTATCGGATCTCTTCCGGCAATGATTTTTTTCTTCCACTTTAAACGAGATTAGAGCAAAGAGACGCTTGTAAACAGCGCGAAACTAATTCGCGTGCTTACACCGAGTTGCTTACGATTTCCTAAATAACGTTACATAACGCGCGCGCGCGCGCGCGAGCCTTTATCTCATTCAGCGAAACCTCGTCCCGGTCTTCAGACAATTTCCACCGCGTGCCGAGCTGTTCTCTCTCTCTCTCTCTCTCCAACGGGCGGTAAACGACATTCCGTTTCAGCGGGTTAGTTAAAGGTCCGCATAATACTTCCACCTCGTGGATGGCATTTAATCCGCGTTAACGTGACGGCTTCATTTCCGCCCGTGCAGCCGGCTCGCCGCGACTTGTCGCCGCGAGAGCATTGCGATCGACCGTCCGTCGTTGCAACGCGCTTGCTATGTAATTTTCAAAATGGTTGGGTTCCTATAAAACGGCTTGTCGTCGTCGGTGGTGGTGCTGGTGGTGATGGTGGTGGTAGCGGTGGCGGTGGCGGTGGCGGTGGCGGTGGCGGTGGTGGTGGTGGAGGAGGAGGAGGAGGAGGAGGAGGAGGAGGAGGAGGAGGAGGAGGAGGAGGAGGAGGAGGAGGAGGAGGAAGCGGTGGTGGTAGTGGCGGTGATCAATCCGCCGACTTCTGGCGATTAGTAGCGGCTAACGAGGTGGGTCGTTCGGGAAAAAGCGCGGGAAAATAAATCGCACCGAGGAGGTCGACAGGCACGAATCTGTGTACGCGCGTCCGTGTGACCGGCATCGTTCGCCGGCCGGGTATTCGGATATGCCACCTGATGCGCTGCGAATGGGACGACCGCGCGGCGCGTCGGCGCGTTTCCGCGATTTCTCGCGCGAGGACGCGGCGCGCTCGCGAGGACGGAGAAGACGACGATTCCGCGGGCGAGTAGGAGGAGGAGGAGGAGGAGGAGGAGGAGGAGGAGGAGGAGGAGGAGGAGGAGGAGGAGGAGGAGGAGGAGGATCAATAAGAGAGAAGCGATGTACAAACGAGTCGCCGGAAGTCGGCCGACGAGATAGCCCATCATCGTCCCGACCTTCTCTCTCTTCTTCCTCCTCCAGCCGTTCTCCCTCCGCCCTCCGTTCCCCGCTTGTCCCTCATCGTCGTCCCACTCCAGCGACTGCCACACAAGCGACGTTCCCCAAGTTCGCTGGAACGTGGGGCACTATTCTGCTGCGCGCGACCCACCGCGATATTTTCCGGCCTGAAGGCTCTCCTTCTCGTCCGCGCGAGCGTGAGCGACGACGCGTGACCGGAGCGACGCGTAATACAGCAAGGTGACGGCGGCGGCGGCGGCGGCGGCGGCGGTAGCGACGAGATGAGAGAATATTCGTCGACAAATTAATTTCGCTCGCGCCCGTTCGCCGTTTACGCGGCACGCTCGAGTTCAAGGTCGTGGGAACGGGCGCTCGCGCCAACTGTCACTCCAGCAAGTGACGGCGAGCGCGGCTGAAAGCGGCGTAAAGCAAGAGCCCAAGGGACGGCTTTGCGCACATCCACGTTTACTCTTCCTCCTCCTCACCGATACCAGCACGATAATGTAACAATGTAACTGTAATCGGAGAGTTCAGCGAACTCTCTGCGCTCAATTTCAATCGACCGGCTGACCGGTTAGGTTGGACGTCGGTGGAGAGCTCCGGTATCGGAATTCCTAGTGATTCTGCCCGATTCTTGTACCGGAGACGGAGACGGAGACAAAGGAGGAGAATCAATCGCAGCGAGATCACGCATCGTCCGTTCTCCGGTGAAAGACTCTTTATTCCTCGGCGACATCGACAGGGAAGAGACATAAGAGCGGCGCGCAAAGTGCGAGGCGATCAAACGCGGATCTCCTACGACGGTGATCCTACGACGAAGACGGACGGAGTTTCTCTCTCAGGGAGCAGTGAGTCATCATCGCGGCGTGGCGCTCACTTTAGCGGGCGGGCTCAAGTGACTCACCTTGGCGGGCTGCTCCGACGACGATTGAGCGTTGTCGTTGTTCTTCTTGAGGCATGGTGGCCGGTCGGACTGTCGAAAGAGTCTGCCCTCCTGCAGCACGAGTCCGCGATCAACCGCACGCTTGGCGGACAGCCTGAGAGCGGTCCTGAGGTCGCCATCGGACTCTTCCTCGACCGTGTGACTCTGCCTGATGTACTTCTCGATGCTCTTAAGGGTAGAACCCTCGCGTTCGCCGAGCTCGCGCACAGCCTTGCCCAAGACCTTGCTGAGGTCCGCGGACTTGGTGACTCTGAGCGGTTTCGACTGCAAGCCGCACGGGTCTTTGTACGAGGACTGTCCCTTGTTGAATATTTTCAGCACGTCGCCACGCTTCACGGAGACCTCCAGGTGTTCGGCGATCTCCTCCTCGTGGTAATTGTGGTGCTGGCGTATCGCGTGGCATATTCGCTCGACGCTCGGCCGCTGCTTCTGAGTACGTATTTTCCGTATCGCATCGAGGAACCAGGCCGTCCAGGTCTCGGGTGTCTCCTGCTCGCCCATCGCGTCCCCGTCCTCGGTGACCGAGGCGCGGACGACGCGACAGCGTCGACGAAGTCACGGCTAGTGCCCACCTCTCTTCGCCGGGTAAAGGACGTCACGTTCGCCGACCGCGACGTTCACATCCTGCTTCTCGGGGGGCCTCCGAAGCTCGGCTTCGAGAAGTTCTCGCCCTCGCCCTCGCTCGCGCTTCCTCTTCTTCTTCTTCTTCTTCTTCTTCTTCTTCTTCTTCTTCCTCTTCCTCTCCTCCTCCGCCACGCCGGCTATCGCGCTGACCCTGAAAGCAGAACAGACACGGGGTTGTAGAGGTCGTGCGTGGGAGTACTCGAGTACGAGTTTTTCGGCTCCGCGTTTCGTTCTTGGCGGCATTAAACGGTGCCAGATAATATCTGACATTGCCGGCTTTCGGCTAGATAGCTAATCGACAGACGACCGCTATACGTGCTGCCGCGATCGAATTATCCGCTATCGACGGGAAGAGGACAGGTCTGTTTTCCCGACAAAGTTGCATGTCCTGACGTTTGGGGGAATGTAAAGAGGAAAACGGAAAAATTATGAGCATCTTCAAAGTAGGTAAACTTCAAACTCTAAACTCTTGAAACTTGAACTTCCCTGAGTGAAATCTCACTGGAAACGGATAAAACTGAAGGGGGTAATTACATGCGCAGCAGGTCGTTTTTAAGGCAAATTTTACGAATTTTCTCAATAGAGACGGTAGGATCAAAATAAACTTGAAATTTGCACAGTGTATTCATTAACGTTCAAAGTATAAAATACATCTGTTACTATCTATATAGAAAGTACACATAAAACTTCAAACGCTATCTAACTTTGAACGTTTATCTGGAAACACCATTTTCTTAAACTGTCGACACGATTGTGCAAAAACCACTGAACCGAATAACTCGAAATTTTTACACAATATAGAGTAAACATATAGTTTTCCGCCCCTATCTCGAACATAGTTATATTTTATTTTATTTATTCTTTTTAATATGATTATACAAGTTGAAAGAAGTTTAATTCTCGACTACTTTGTTTGTATATATTGTCATGATTTTTCCAAACTTGGTTTCAGTGCCTTCATTTTGGTACGGGCTATAGTGGCAACCGTATATTTTAAAAATCTTTCTCACTTTTTGGTTTCAGAATAGTGAGAGGCCCGGAATTGTGTCGACAGCAAATATAGAGCTCGCAAACGAATGACTGCGTTTTTATCTATAATTACAAATCGGATCGGTTCTTGTGATTCAATAAAATTTATTTTATACTTAATAAACATTAACGAACATACACTGTGAAAATTTCAAGTCCACTGATCTTACCGTTTCTGTTAAAAAAAAAAAAAAATTTCGTAAATACTGCCTTGAAAACGGCCTTTCGCATGTAATTCACTCCTCAACTAGCGATAGTGAGCGATAGTGAAAGTACCACCAGAAGCAGCACGCGGAGTGCTTCATTCGAGCTTACGAGTAAACCCTGGGGGAACGTCAGACGCTGATTTGTTTTCAATTTTTTATAGTTATATTTTATGTTAAAATATGAAGAAATCTGTTATCATTTTTAGCTTAAATTAATGTTTTCAATTTTTTCAAAATTTTTCAAGTTTTGCACAAGTACACTATTTTATACATATTTAAAACAACATTTCTTAAAAATATATATATCTGATTTGTTGAAACTTGCACACACATGTCGCCGGTTATGAATCAGAACCATTTTATAAAATTCAAAATGGCGGATTTAATATGGCTGACGTCATTGTTGAAAAAGTGTTCAGTTTTACGCTAAATTCAACGTTGGGCTCACTATCCGGCAAACAAGCTCATTTTAACGTCAAAATCTGGTAAAAAATGGACAAGAAATAAACAAAAAAAGAATGAACAAAAAACTTCAGAAATTTCGAAAAAATGAATTTAAACTAAAACTGACAACAGATTTCTTTATACTTTGACATTAAAAATAACTATAAGAAATTGGAAACAATTCTGACATTCCCCAACTTGTTTACTTGTTAGAGTGAATTCTTATCCTATGCGAGGGAATATTTCCTCGATTAGAACGAATTTGTCAAGCACGTCGAACTCACTCTTCAAGTTCGAGTGAGAATGTTCACTCGACAAGTCAGAGTGGAAGAATTCCACTCTGCATGACCGAAAGATCACTCAGGCTCGAGTGGCTCGACAGTCGAGTGGAATTTCGCTCGAAAAAATTAAGAAAGAGAGAAAGAGAGAGAAAGCTAATGTCGATCCTGCGGGAAAGACGCGCGACAAAAGTCAAAAGGTCAAAAGTCAAAAGGTTGCGATCGACTGACCGGCCATGCTCGCAGGTCAATCGAATTTTCCACCTAACGACGACGAAGGAAAGGAAACGTCGCGGCGATTGAGACACCCCGAGACAACCCGACTTTGCAATCCGCGCGATCCCTTCCTCCTCTTGCGCGGGGTCGCCATACGCGAGGGATAAATTTTGCCAAATTACTCGCGGCTATATTCGTGTATTCAGAATATCCCTCGACCCTCGCGTGCGCCCACGGCCGACAGAATCCGAGAACTCGCGCGGCCAATTCATGCTCCCCCCCCCCTCTCCGTGGCCCTGGATTTATACGTCCGTGCTTTCGTCTTTGTTCATCCGTCGCTCGCGCGCGATTCGATTCTCGCGCTCGGCGCTCACGCGATTTTCGACTCGGCCGTAAACGATCGTCCGTCGGTTTTCCCTGTGAGCGATGAACTTTCTCCTGCGCGCGGCTCTCGTTGCGCCGCGTAGCTGCGTGCATGCGTGCGTGAGGATAAAATATTTAAAATCACCGTGGCCGACGGCAATATTGCGCAACGCCGAGAACGCGAATTGCAGGCTGCGCGCAGCTTATTAAGTCGGTCGCGCGCAGCCGACGTGTGCGAGCGCACGCGATGCGACGCGACGAGACGCGACGACGATGAGAGGAAATTCGGGAGCGTCGCGGCGCGAGGTATGAGCGAGATATATTAGAATGAGAAACAGAGTCTCGACGGATCGATTGGTTGGACCGAGATATATAAACGTGCCGAGGTGCCGCCGCACGCCGCCAACACACGCTGGACGGGGGGATCTCCTCTCCGCTCCAATCGCCGCTCCTATCCGCGGATCTTTCTCAACTTGCGGTAGAATGTCTCTACTCTCGCGGCTCGAGAAATGTCGCAACGCGGATCGTCACTTGGGCGTGTGAGCTCTAGACCGTTGTTAAACCGTTAATCGGGGATTCGTGCACCGGCTCTCTCTCTCTCTCTCTCTCTCTCTCTCTCTCTCTCTCTCTCTCTCTCTCTCTCTCTCTCTCTGCGTATCAGGCTGATTCCGAAGCCGTTTTCCCGATACGAGCGACGCTGCGCGAGTAGTGTCGACGCGAACGACGCGGGAACTTTTGTATGAATGAACGGCGAAGACTTTTATATGAATTGACATTGTATTTTCGATACCGCCGATTTTTCCCAATTTTTCACAAGGGACCGCGCGTCGCGCGTTTATCACGCGAAAGTCGCTTGCTTTCGAGATCTGAACAGCGACGCTGCTCAGCAATCGCTCCGTCAAATCCATGACTGAGCACGTTGATTTTTGGCCGGGAAAATCGCGAGTGGCTCGGCGAGACGGACCGGCGCGCGGAGAGAGAGAGAGAGAGAGAGAGAGAGAGAGAGAGAGAGAGAGAGAGAGAGAGAAAGAGACGTGGTGAAAAACCGGCTGGCTTTTGTTTTACTCTCTCTCTCTCTCTCTCTCGCGCGCGCGCGCGCGCAGCCGCGGTCGAAGCGTGAGAAACAATGCACCGCATCACGCCACGTGGCTCAAACGACGGCCACGTGTATTCACCAGGCGTTTATCTCACGTGCACGAGTCGCACGAGGAACGTAATTTTCTCAGGCATGCTGCGGCTTTTTCGAGAGATATCGATCGGCGCTGTTAACAGGAAGAGGAAAAAGCTCAGCCGATCGTCGTTTCCCTTCTCGCACACGACGACGTCTGCGTCGCTGCGTTTTCCACCTATACGTTTCACACCACGATCGATCGCGCTCGTGTTAACAACCGCGAGTTGAAGGCGAGACTAACGGTCAGGGGTCATCGCACAAGTTAAAAACCGATTCCTATTTATCTTCCAATCGGAGCGCACGAGAGACGACACGTGGAAGATATGACAGACACCTTACACACGGGGGGGGGGGTGTCTTCATCAACACAACGCGCCGCCGGCTGTTTTTCGCGATTAAACACCTAATAATAGTTACACGCAACTAGGCTAAGTGAGAGATCAATTAAACAAGTCGGTTAATATCTCGATTTCAACAACGAAGCGAAGGACGACGACGACGTTTAGGAACGCATCGCGGCACAATTACGGGCCAGTCTCAAGCGGGCACCATATTGCTCCCCCGACTTCCGGAAAAGGCACAAAAGGCGGCGAAAATGGCGTTTCCCGTTGCCCGTGCGGATAGAGTACTAAACATCACGAACGGACGTGAACAGGGTCTCCCTGGGATACGGGAGCATCGATTGCAGCACGATTTCGCGCGAGCTGCCGGAGGCGACACACGGACGATTGATTATACAAGGAGAGAATAAACGTTGTGTCGACGACGGTAGAGATGCACCTGTGATCGGCGAGAGTTGACCCAGGCCAGTGATAATAAATATGCCGGCGCCTTGAGTGCCAGGCACATGCCAGGCCGAGGAAAAAAAAAGAAAAGAGACTGCCACGTACGACGATGCGCACCCAGTTAAACCGGCTTCTTGTTCTCTTCTTTCTAAGCCCTCACTATATACACCGTGTTCTCGCAACACGTGCTCGTTCTATTCTGGCGAACGAGCGCGCTCACGCTTTCGCTATAGAGCCGCCGCTCGGCGCTCGGCGGCGGCTTCCCGCCAAATCCCCACCGGCGCTTTCCGGTGTCTTCTTTTTCAACGGCCGAGTCGGCGAGAAAAATCGCCATTCATTGGACGACGATCCTCTCTCGTGAGCGGGGTATCGAGAAGACCGTCGGTTCTCGAGAGTGAACGCGAGGAGAAATTCGCTCGCTTCAATCAGCGAGCTAAACACAATTCACGTCGATTTACGCGAGGTGAACTCCTTGAGAGTGTCGCGCGATCAACAAACGAGTGTGTCCTTTTCTTTTCTTTCCTTTCGTTATTGCTATTATTTTTTTGGGTTAGTTCCTTTTTTTGGGTGAGTTTTTTTTACTATTATATCTTTTATACACACTGTAAAATTGTCGGCGCTGCTTCCGCCGACTACTTTCCGCTTCGCACAAATCGACGCGGAATTTGTTTTATGACGCGCCCGATTGCCGAGTGTCCGATATAAGATAAAATTTAGAAAAGGAAGAAACCGCACATTGTTGCACTTAGCTTCGCGATCCGTATAACCATCACCGGGAAATGACGCAATCAATTCGCCGACGCACTCGCGCACCACAAAACACGCACATGTACAGGTCTTTGGTTTGTTCCAAAGCTCCGTCGCGCCGTCTACGTTGATTGGCGCTCGTCTCAATTATCCCAATCTTGTTGCTCTGTTTACCTTGGGGCAAAACTATAAAAAAAAAGGAGACAAAAAAACGCCAGGATGAATCTATGAAAATAAAACGAAACAGAAAAAAAAAAGAACAACTAACAACGAGCCGCTAATTTAAGCAAGATTGATCGTGGCAACGTCGATTAGCGCTAATCTGCCTTTTAAAACCAACTTCCTCCGGCCGTTTCATGGCGAAGAGAGATCTCGCCTCTCTGTTTATTTTACGCACCGGGCTCTCCAAGTCGAAGAGATTAAAGCGTAATCGAGAAGAGAGCAGGAAGGAGCGGCCGAAGGAATCGGAAAGCTTTCAATCACAGCGGACAACACGAGGCTAGAGTGGCGCAGAAAGGTTAAAAATGCGTGTCAATCGCTGCGAGAGAGAAACGATCCTCCTCCTCCTCCTCTTCCTCGTCGTCGTCGTCGTCGTCGTCGCGTGTTGCGCGCGCGAAACGTCAATGGGACGACCCGCTCGTTTATCGTGGCTTCAATGAGAGAGAGAGAGAGAGAGAGAGAGAGAGAGAGAGAGAGAGAGAAAAAGATACCATAGTACTCGCAGTAGTAGTCTTTATTACGCGTCGCGACTTTAATCCTCCATTGATGATGGCGCGCGGTCGCCGCGTTTTTTCAGCCCGGGGAAAGAGATTACACGGCGGCGAGAGGGATGATGTTTTGACGTTTCGTCTCGCTTCGCTCGCAGAGCAGCACCCGAGGCTGATCGCGCGGCGACGAGCTGTGTCCGAAAACGACGTGACAACACCGCACACCTGAAGCACGTGACGACGCTGCTCACAGGAATGACAATATTTTTGTTACGACGGTCTATTCCACAACAAACGGCGCCGACGGCTCAACACGCCCGGGAGAGCTCGCGGCGCGGATCGCGCTTCTCTCAATCGACCGACTCGGCACGCACTTTCGCTTCGTATCCATTTAAATTTCACTACGCCGACGTAAAGCTGACGAACGTGAAACGTGACAGTCGGCGTACCGCACCGCGGTGGGCCCCTCTCTCTCTCTCTCTCTCTCTCTCCCCATCGTGTGCGTATTTGTGTACTCTACCCGAGAGTTTCCGTATCGCTCTGAAATTGAATTCGGACGGAATTACTGCGACATTGACGCGACTTGATGAAACCTTCGAGAGAGAGAGAGAGAGAGAGAGAGAGACTTAATGAGATGCAATTTCCGAGCGAGACGATTGTTCGGCCGCGGGATTGCATCACACAAACTGTCGCGGGACGAACTCTCGCTGAGTCTCCGTGCTGATGTCACTGATATCTCAACGGTGACTTCATTAGGAAGTATCTCTCGCTCGCGAATTCGACGAGGCTGTCGCGCTCCGTTTCGAGCACCCTGAGCATCCGACCGCCGAGCGGCAAAATGATGAGAATTCTCGCGGAGAGAGAGAGAGAGAGAGAGAGAGAATCATGAGACGCGCACACGGGTTCCAGCAGAGTCGGCGATCATGAGTCAAGGATCGATCACTGCGAAGACGAGGAAGGACGATGAGAAAGAGAGTGAGTGACGCGGAGGAGAAGGAAAGAGGCCACACGAGAGTGGCCGGGCGGGCACAGGCCGCGGACGCGCTTTTGCTCTCCTACAACGGCGCGTGTTTCTCCGCTCGCTATCTTATTAGGCGAAATGAAATACCGGCTGAACGAACACGTCCGTCTATTTGTCCGCCGTTCGTCCGGTTAAAGACGACGGATGGGGCCGAGGGCGAAGAGAGGCCGCCGGCTGTGCGTGTTGTCGGGGCCCCTCTCACTCAGCGAGCGAGAGCGAGTGAGTGAGCAAACGCCACGACCGTATGAGCGAGCGAGCGAGCGAGCGAGCGAGCAGCGGCGGCGGCGGCGGCGGCGGCGATGACGACGACGACGAACGACCGACCGATCGACCGACCGACCGACGGAACGAGAGGACGTGAGAAGAGCGGAGAATGTGTGTGTGTGTGTGTATGAGAGAGAGAGAGAGAGAGAGAGAGAGAGAGAGAGAAAGAAAGAGAGAGACAGGGAAGGAGGGAGAGAGGGAGGGAGGGAGAGAAAGAGAGAGAACGAGCAGCTGCCGCCGTCGTCGCTACCGAAGAACGGTTTGTCGGAATGACCCTAAACTGCTGTTGCTCCGCTTTGCCGTCGCTCGGCGAAGCGTGCACGCACGAGAAACGTGCGTTGCAACCGCCGTCGACGTCGTCATCCTCGTCGTAGTGAACTCGTCCGTTCGCCTCGGTCATTCGGAGGTGACGCGAATAGAAGGAAAAAGACGAACAAAGAGACAGAGAGAGAGAGAGAGAGAGAGAGGGGAGAAAGAGGAGGAAAACCGAATAAAGATCGATCGATCGGTCTTGCGGCGACTTGCGAATTTGGCGCGCGATGGAGAATCGTCGCCGCGACGGATATGGTAACCCACGGCGGCTCATCGTCGTCGCCGTCGGCAGCCACGATTCCGACGGGTAGCCATTTTGAGCGAATATTCTCGCACGGGCAGCACGCCGAGCGTTCCGTAAACGCCCTATAATTGAGCATCGACGCACGGACGACGACGTCGCGCGACCCGAACACTGCCGTCGGCTGCGCCGTCGACGCATCCGGCGGCACGACGGCCGTCGCCAACGTACATGACGATCCGCCGACGGCACGGTCGCGATGGTCGCGACGGACAAACACGGCGCGACGAATGGGCGAAAGTCCGCTGCTCGACGCACGCTCGTCACCGACGACGCTATCGGACGCGAGGTCGGAACGTCGAGGCGGACGGGGAACGACGACGACGACGACGACGACGAGACGAGCGGGATCGTCATCGCTCGAGCGACGGGCAGCCATCTTGGCGGCAGACACACGGCCGCTTTTCGAACGTTTCGCTGACTTCCTCCGTGCGCTCGTTCGCGGCCGTTTGACCACGCGTGGCAACGACGACGGTGTCGTCGAGTCCGCATCGTGGACACGCACGTTCTCTACGTGGCCGTCCGCTACGTTTCCCTCGGCGCGTACCGCCTTTGCGACTCTGGTCGTGCGTGGTGAAAAACGGCGAGGAGACGTTACGCCGTCAACTGCACCACGTATAGGAACATCCTCCGTCTTTTTTCTCTTCCTTTCCCTCTCTCTCTGTCTCTCTCTCTCTCTCTCTCTCTTTCTCTCGCTCGCTCTTTCTCTCCCTCTCTCTCTTTCTCTCGCTCGCTCGCTCGCTCGCTCGTTCACTCACTCACTCATTCACTCACTCACTCACTCACTCGCACATACACGTTCGCACGTTCGCTCGCTTGCTGGCTCTCTCGCGCCGCTGGCAAAGGAGCGAGCGGCCGACACCGTCGCTCCGGGTCCCGTATGCGTCGGACAACGGCGACGACGGCCGATTCTCGCGTGGTTTTCACCAGGCAGAGCCTACGCGATGATGCCCGTGCGGGGCCGTGTTACCTGGTCACAGTGGTTCCATCGACAGGTAAATCCACGAGCACGACGTTGGCACGTATCACCGAGTATCAACGACACACGGAACGCGTAATCACGATCACCAATTATCTCGCGCGACAACGGCGTCACATTTCATACAATCAACAAAGTTACTTGACAAAGATGGCGGACAGCGCGCGGGGGTTACACACTACGCGCACGCGGTGGGGAGCGTACTGCGCAACTCGCCGCGCGCTCTCTGGCACACAGCGGCGGAAGTACGAAGCACGGATAGCCGTAGCGGCACGCGTTCGCCTCGACCAATCCCCGGCCCCGGTCTGCGCCTCACTAACACACTAACGCGCTCTCTCGGCCGGTCACACGTGCGTCGCGCTGCTGGCCGTATCTCCTTGCCGTTGTGCGCATGTGTGCTGCAACGAGTGTGCGGCGTGCGTACATGCATATGCAGGTACGGATGCACATAACATGCTGCACATTGCACGTAATACATGCAATGTGTGTGTGTGTGTGTATGCGAGACGTACGTTTTTTACGCGATTGCGCGCGCACTGCGTGTATATCTGTACACTCGCCTGCAAAACGGTCTTAACACTTGCTCCCGACACATCTCGAGACGCATCTGACGTCCAATGGCAGAACTCATCTTTCGCGAATGACTAGAGAATTGATTCTCCCATTGGACGTTTGCTGATTTCCGACATGCGCCGCGAAAAAAGTGTCCAATCGTTCTATAAACGAGTGTACCCGCATATGGATGCGTGTGTGTGTGTGTGTGTGTGATGCGTGTAAATATGTATAGCCGGGTGGTGATATGCCACGACCGTGTGAAATACGAATTTATGCTCACACGTATACGCGAGTACCTGTCCTCCTATGCATGGTGTGTGTATGTGTGCATGTGAAAGAGAGAGGAAGATGAAAGAGAGAGAGAGAGAGAGAGAGAGAGAGAGAGAGAGAGAGAGAGAGATAGAGAGAGAGAGAGAGAGAGAGAGAGAGAGAGAGAACGCTCACTACGGCACGGCGATTTGCCGCACGGCGCGACGAAGAAAGCGAAGAACGAGGCCGATCGCGCGCGCGGCAGCGAGAAGATGCAACGGCCGCGGCGAGCACGCGGTTCGCCCGGCTCGAAAGACTATGGCCGACCGCCTCGCACTCGCTTTAATCGCTCTCCCAATTGGGCTGTCGAGTTGCGCCCCGACGGATGCCACGCAGTGCAGCTGGGAGATCCTTGTCAACGAGGAGTCGGCAGGGCCGTATCATTCGTCATCATTAGCCCGAACCCTTGCGTTTTCATTTCTCCTTTCTACCTGTGCTCGTTCTTTTCTTTCGTCGGCCCCTCCCTAACAACACGAACTCGTGTTCTTACTTCAAGCCCAAATTAGCATGAAAAAAATACAAGGGACGCGTAAAAAACGTTAAGGAAATCTACGGATTTAGAAAACTCACGAGTGATTCGCGTTTCATCGTCCAGCCGAAGTGATTGTTGTTCTCTTTGTTGAAGAGAGCCGGAAAGATGTCTCGAAGAAAAAAAAAACAAAAGAAAAAAGGCGATGGTGCAAATGGTCAATTATCGTTCGAATTATTCGACAGAGAGAGAGAGAGAGAGAGAGGGAGAGAGAGAGAGAGAGAGAGAGAGATGAGCTCGTCTCATCCACATTGCATGCGGTGTAAAGAAAGTACCGGTTGAATTTCGTGCGCCATGCGGTGAACGGAGTGCGATACAAAACGCGCGACATGTCCTGTGCGATTTCATAATGAGATTATTGATTTTTTTAAGAACTATCGTCTCCCTCGCTCCCTTCCTCTCGTACTCGAGCGGCCATCCGTCCTCCCGCCGCCTCTTTTCTCTGTCCATTTCTACGGCTCGATATGTCTCTATCCTGCTCGAAACTCCGCAGCTTCGCCGTATATATACACACCGCGCACGCGTGCCGCGTCTCGCATAATTGAATACAACACACACCGCCGTGCGCGGCGATATCATACGGTCAGCGGTCGTACACGCGGAGCTAACCAGCAAATTCTCGGTAATATCTACATACCCGGTGATTGTATTGATTTTCCCTCGACAGTGTATGTAAATTAGCATGCCGCGCCGCGATGTAAGTGCGCGCGTGCGGGAAATTCTGCGCAGTTTATGTTCTCGGGCGGATAGCCCGCCCGGGCAAATCAGGTGTCTACAAATAAAAAGCTTTAGCTGAGCACACAGAGATATTCTTCAATTACGATTATCGACACAATCCCCAAAAAATTGGCTTGCAAAATAATTGCACTGGCGCGACTCTGACGCGGTAATTCGAGTCGATCGGTCCTTTTCTCCTTAATTAAATTAGTAAATTCAACTCTGACCAATTCAGGGGAATACGTGTACACACGGACAAATTATTAAGAGACAATATATGTAACTCTGTGTATTTTTATACCTATAATTATTTACGTACGTGAGACAGACTTGATTGACGAGAGATCGAAAAAATCGAGGTAGAAAAAACGATTAAGCCTTTATTAAGTACACATTATCGCTACTTTGGCATTTATTAAGACTGGAAATTTGGTTTTCCTTCGTAAGTACACCCGGACATTTGCACGATCTCCGTGGCCGCCCAGATTCCGCACTTTGTACAAGTTTCTATACTTTTATCTTGTACGAGTTGCGCGAGAAAACCTGAAACGATTATAATATCGCGGTTAATAATCTTACCAAATTCTCGCCGCGTATAACGCGTCAATCAAGGAGGGAGGGAGAGGATCGCGAATGCTCACCGCCAACGAAAGCGTCGCCAGCACCATTGGTATCCACAACCTTCTCCTCTGGCAGTTTTCTAACGGGATATTCCGTCACCGTGCCGTCTTTGGCTACAAGCACCGGCTCACAGCCTTGCGTTATAACGACGATTCGTTTCCTCTTGCCGTTGATTTTCTCCATCTCCGAGATTTTCATCGCGATCTGCTTCCTGTCGGTCGCGCCGAGGTTGTTTACCTTCGCGAATATATCCGCTTCCGTTTCATTGCCAAATAATATGTCCACGTACGGCAGGGCGGCTAACATCGGCGTTTGGAAGTATTCGCACAGGAACGGTGCGCTGAGATTCATCATGAACAGTTTGTCGTTCTCGTGCGCGTGTTTGGCTACCGTCTGTATGGACTCTGGACTGACCGTCAAGAAAAATCCCTGGAGCGCAAAATGTAGAACTTTGTAACGTAGTATACGGTTATTTCACAAGTGTATCCTTTGGTCTTACAATTATCCAAGGAAGTCTGCTGTCTACTCACCGATACATAAATGTACTTTGCGGCTTCTATGAGCCGTTTGTTTTCCGGCTTTTCAATGTGCGACTGTGAGAAGCAATTCGCTGCCGCCAAATTAGCGCACAAAGAGCGTTCTTTTCCCGTAATAAGAACCGCGCATGTTCCAGTTGGTTCCTCATCGACGTACTGATATCGAACATTTAAACCAGCTGCGATTGCTTTATCCTCCAAAATCTTGGAGTATTTGTCCCTACCGACACAACCCATGTAAGTGGCTACATTTGGTTTCTGCAGGAGCCACTGTAAGTTACAGATTTTAATTCTTCACTACTCTGCCTCACAGTTTGTTCCTATATTCCTAATTTGTTATGTTTAAATAACATATCCTGTAGGCATCGTAAGACTTACTTGTGCTACTCTCATAGTATTTTGTACAGATCCACCTGCAATAAAGTCAGCTTTGTACAATTTAATCAATTCCTCGTAGACAGGTTTGTGCTTGTCCTCGGCCAAAATAGCATTGTTGGACTTTAGGTCATATTTCTTTAAAAATGCATCATCTACAGTTGCTGAGATATCGAGCAGGGGATTTCCCATGCCCAACAGCAGTCCTTCTCTGAAATGATCAGATCTCATTAAGTACATGTTTCTGACAAGTACACAAAATTTTATTTATAAAGCTATATATACATATATATATATATATATATCTATAATTTATGAAATTCCAATATTTATACGATATTGATAAAATTATAGAAGTATATATTAAAGAAATATATATATTACTTTGCACACATTTTTTTATTTACTCTCAGTGCAGATCATCCGATGTAGAAACGTCCACGTGATAATTAATAATACAATATACGAAATACACATTCGACACATTTTTAAATTACCGCACTGAACTTTGCGATTCAACCGCGTCGGTGCGAATCGACCCTGACGATTACATAACCTGCACTTCTGCCTTCGCGAAGCGCGCTCGTGGATTTTGTCCGGCATGGAACATTGTTGATGTTGCAATTATCTCAATTTCAGAAAAAAAGGAACACTTTGTTGCGTTTATCATTTTCGCAAGAAAATGGTCGAATTTTCGGCGGTAAACCTCATCGATCGTTTCTTCCAGAGGGAAGAACAACGTGCATGCACATAACCTCCGGAGAATACGATATCTCGACATAACCTCCAAAATGAATGTTGTCCGATGCTAAACTAAACCGCGCGCGATCGATTAAACAGGGGAAAGACAGGAAAATGCAAACGTGAGATCTCACTTACCGTAAGTTTTTTGCCATTTGTGCGCAAAATGTGTGTCTTCACGAGACTCGCGAAGGAATCCGACTTTTCGCTCTCTCTCTCTCTCTCTCTTTCTGCTGCAACGGTGCGCCACCAATGGACAACGCTCGACGAAGCGACTTTTGTGCTGTGCCAGGATGAGAGCGATTCCCTCCAGTGGCATCGACTCGATTAGTTGAAGTCGCTAAAAAAAATACCCGCCTACTTAACCTCCGGGCGATGTTATCGTTACGGTTCATTGTGGCGGCTTTATCGCGAGGAACGAGAGAGGGATCTTCCACGCAGTGTCTTGCGTAATGAAGTTACGACCTAAACGTGGGGGTCTAAGCGCTGATAATTCTAGCTTCCCGACACTTGCATGGCGATATCCAATTACGACGCTCAGCATCTCCAATGGGAGAGATTATTTTCCTTCGACATATATGCAAAAATACGCGCGACTCTCGCATTCCAGGCGAACGTTAATACACATGCGCATGCGCATGCGCGCGCGCGCGTATACTCCCCGAGATAACTGTACTTTTCCGCCATTTTTTTTTTCTATTCAAAAGAACGCAAAACATACGTGCCTACATCGGACGAGGGGGGGGGGGCGGGGGGTGGAGCGAGAAGAAAATGATAAAATTCATCGGGGACAAGACGAAGCAACTCCAACTCCAGTTTCAATTACTTCAAAGCGGCTAAGATTTGGACCAACCTTGCGAAAACGCGACCCAGATAGCACAGGATGTCCTGACATTATTCTGCATGTTCTCAGAACGTCCGCGGGTACTCATCAGGCGCTTGGAACATTCCAGATGAATTCTGGAATGTCTTGTGCTATTTGGAGAGTCTACGTTTCCTACGAGGAATGCAATGCGCGATGTGATACCGGCATGTATTTATACACGAGGAAGTGGATATCGCGTTTGAATCGCGTAAGTAGTGATGTCAACAAACTAACGCCGATGTCTAGTGACTTCCCGTGGAGTCGAGATCTTTATTGCTCGATTACATGCTGAATCATGCTTTCAGTTACCGGGCTCCCCGCGACTTTGTACCGTCAAGTGAGCCAACGACATCCTGCGGCGCAACGCACGTCTCACGTATGAGGGATCTACTTACGGCGTTATTCAAAGTCCTCGCGATGATCCGTTCGCGATCAAACGACGCACGACAGACTTCACTCGGAAATACTGCGCGCTCTCTCTCTCTCTCTCTCTCTCTCTCTCTCTCTCTCTCTCTCTCTCTCTCTCTCTCTCTCTCTCTCTCTCTCTCTTACCTGCGAGTATATAATCCTACTTACCGTCACGTGCTTCTATCTATCTAGAGAATGGTGTCAAGTACAGAGGTGATTACTAATGACGAGGGAAAAGAACCGCTCGTAGATATTGAATAAAAATGTAAAGCGCCGCGCGCGCGCGGTATCCGCCGCGAAGGCGACGATCGGAAATCGATGCGGAGGAGAACTCGAGCCACTACCGAGGCCGATCGATAAAAGAATCTCGCAGCGTCAGGGTCTGCGGACTTCTCGCAACGGAAGACCGAGCGAAAACGCATTCAACGAGCGCGTTCGTTTGCCGATCGCGAGGATCGAGAATCTCCGAAAGGTTCAGCGGAAGGTCAGC